TTCATTTCCTCCGGTCCACCCTCTTTTTCCAGGTACCGTACCTGTGCTCGCAGCACGGTCTACCGTATCTGAATGGAGACTGTGACGGGAGAGGGGCAGAGGGAATGGTGTGGAGCAGGACAGAGACGCAGAGGATATTCTTCTCTGAAAGAATCGAGAAAGACGACAGGGCACTCGGCTATCCGGAAATGATCACTTACGGTAGGGGAAATTGGGCTTTACATGACGTAATTCCTTCATGAATCGCTAAACTGACATCCAGTAGACACAAAAAAAAATGCTAGAATCCGGCTACAGTACCCCGCGACGTCATTTGGAGCGATTCGGAAAAAGTGCCAAAACGCAATGTGATAGAACTCATTTTCCTCTTTCGAATAGATCATAACAATCATCTACAGTACCCCCAAATGTCAACAGGAAACTACCGGAAAATCGGAAAAATTGGAGTTTTGCTAAATTTTCGAATTCGTCTAATTTTCTGTAGTTTGCAGATAGAGGACTAATCTTTTGGGAATGGTTAAACTGACACTTAGCCTACAAACTACAATGTTCAGCGATAGACTACAAGCTAGAGAATCGTTGCCAGGTAAAGGACCCTGGTTCGAATCCCGACCGCCGCCTACGTTTTGCTTTTTGAAATTTGGCATCAATTTTCGATTAGAATGCCTCAACTGGCAGTCAGACTACAGACTACACCCATTTTCAGCCTGCCAGGGTCCCAAGGAGGTGTTCTGCATGGAATGGAATGATGAAGAGGACCGGGATATCGGCTGTTATACCGGCGTCGAGAGGGACAACAGCAAAATCGATCAATGCTTTTGCAGTGGGCGCCCATCACTTATTAAATTCACTTTAAATTTAACATTTAATTTAGACGTTTTTAACTTACAGAAAATTTTAAAAATTAATTAGATTTTTTAATTCTTTAATTCTGAATTTTTTAAACTTGCGCAATTTTTAAATTTGCCAATTTAATAGTTTGTATTTTAGGTATATTTTAATTCAGAAACCAAAACCCATTTTAAAAATGTTTTTGTCATAACTAGTAACGCCAAAAATTTTTGATCTTTGCAATTTTTTGAAACACATTTTTTCGGGGATTTTGAGGTCATTCGCGATCAGCCTGTGATTCATAGAACCTATAGAAAAATACAAACTATTTTAAGGCATTTAAATTGTTATGCAATACGATAAAACGCGCAAAAACAATTTTAGCAATTTCTGATTTTTCATATTTCCGGTAAAATGTTTCAAAATTTCCTAAAAATTGGCGATTTTCTAAATCTCTGATCTGTTTGTTTGTTGGTTTTCTGAAGCTTGCTACAATTTCTAGCCACCTAAAACTACAAAAAAACACTATAAAACTACATACAAACGGAAACAAAATTTAACTCCCCCGATAACAGTCCAGTACCTATTTTTTTTACTTCAGAAAACACGGCCCCTCAAAATGGCGATTTTTCGATTTTTATATTTTGCAGGAATTAGTAAAGTTGCTAATTTAATATTTAGTATTTTTAGGTATATTTTAAAGCAGAAAAAACAAAAAGGGAATTCAACGAGAGCGCCTCGAGAAATCAAAAGTGCAAAAATTCTTGATTTTAAATTTTTTTGAAACATATTTTTTTTGCTGTATTTGAAGTATTTTTTTACTACCATGATTTTAGTTATGATAAAGGTAATTAATTAAATTCAATTAAATCAAATTAGATTGCTTAAACTTTAAATTGCCTTTTTTTCAGAAACGACGGCCGGAATGGCGATGAGATCGACGGTGAATCGGCAGCTGCTGAACCTCTACAATCGATATGAAAGGGATGATGTGGGTCAGGGGAGGAGCAGATCGGCAGAGGAACTTGTGGAACATTTAAACTGGCTGCCAGGCAGCTCGCAGAGACCATTTGCGAAATTTTTTCCAGGAAGACGCGGAAACGGGTGTTGCCCTGAAGCGTGAAAATGTCTGTGGATCTCGGCTGAACTGGACCCGCGAACACGATTTTGTGATGCCTAAGGAGGTGGGGCTAATCGATTACGCAATGAAAAGGAAACGCGATCTGATATAGATTGTTTTTAGAGTGACGATTTCGGGAAGAGAAAGAAGAAAAAGAAGGCCCAAGACGATAGTGAGGCGAAGAAGTGGGTTTTTAGTAATTTTCAACCAAAATAAGAATTGTAGCTTGTAGTCTGCCTGCCAATTCAGTTTTTCCAAAAGGAATTAGAGCTTTAGCCACAAAGTACAAAAAAATTGGACCAATTCGAAAATTTGCCAAATTACCGATTTTCCATTTTCCGTTTGATTCCTGTTGACATTTGGGGGTACTGTAGATGATTGTTATGATCTATTCTGTTGAATTCTATCACATCCCAACACTATCATCTACCCTATCCCTAGATCTAGCCAGTTAAATGAGCACGAACATCGGAAAAATCAAGTTTGGCCTTTTCCGAATTGGTACTATTGTCGTCGTACTGCGGTGGTCTAACTGTTGTATTGTGTAGTCTGGATGTCAGTTTAGCCTTTTCCATCAAGAAACCAACAAAAATTTCAAAAAGCAAAAAATTCGTCGTGGGCGGGGGTCGAACCCGGGTCTTTCGCCTAGCAGCTTTCTATAGTTTGAAGCCTAGATTCAGAGTTTTGTAGTCTGGATGCCAGTTTAAGGATTATCGTACAAATTAAATCCATGCCTTTTAGTTAAAATTTTAGAGAGCAAAAAGTCAGCGCGGTACGCGGTCAAGCCCCCTTTACAGCTCGCTCACCCTGGTGCTGGTGATGCACGGCGTGCTGACGACGATCATCCTCTGCATCTGCCTGTCCTCCCTCTACTGCTGGGCAAAGAAGCGACGCGACCGCAACGCGACAATCACTAATGACAGCACGGAGGAATCGGCGGATGGAGGAGGGAAGGGAAAGAAGAATGGTATGGGCTAATGGGTTCTGCTAGGTTACCGTTTTTGATTGGCATCCATAAACTGGCATCCAGACTACAAGCTGCAGCTTTGAAATCTGGGCTACAGACTATCGAAAATCTAATAGGCAAACCACCCGGGTTCGACCCCCGCGGCGGCTGACTGTTTTGCTTTTTGAAAATTTAACTGATTTTTTGATAGGAGTCGCTAAACTGTCGCCCATACTACACGATAAATAATTAAAACGATTTACAGTACTTGATCGTCAATTTCATCGATTCCGAAAAAGTGCCAAAACGCGATTTCGGGATGTTCTGCCCCCTTTAAATTGTTAGATATAGGGCTAGGGTAGATGATAGTGTTGGGATGTGATAGAACTCATTCTCCTCTTTCGAATAGATCAGAACAATCATCTACAGTACCCCCAAATGTCAACAGGAATCCAAGGGAAAATGGGAAAAATTGGGTTTTTGTCAAATTTTCGAAAGGCTCTAACTTTTTGTAGTTTGTAGCTAGAGCTCTAATTCTTTTGAGAATCGGTAAACTGACATGCAGCTACAAAGTACAAACCCCATTTTTGAGTTAACGAAATACAAACGCGCCTCAATCTCCAGGACCGGTTTCGAATCCCGGCCGCGGCTAACTTTTTGCTTTTTCGGTTTTTCGTAGATTTGTCCATTGGAATGGCTAAACTGTCAGGCAGACTACAAACTGCAACAAAATGATGGTGATTTTACAGGAATCTGGCCGAGTCGCCCCTACGAGAAGACGGACGAGTGATTGGCCGGCCAATTCGGGCGTGGAATATCTATCGAAATCGTTCATTTTTCCCAATAAGCCACGCCCCCTTTCTCCTCAATTTTTTTCCCTTGTATTTTCGCTTTCTTTCAACGTGCTGTGATTTTTTGTGTGGCAGCTTGTCTGCCGAATAAATGGATTTTTGAGGATTTTTTTATTTTTAGAATTTTTAATTTTAGATCTTTTTTGATATTGCATTTTTGGGTTCATAAGCCGTTTTCCTTTAACTGTTGTCTGTTTTAAGAGACTCTAAAACTGGATCTGCGAGAAAATTTCATTTGCAAAATGAATGTTTCAGGAAAGATAAAAAAGTAAAATTTTTTATAAATGGCATTATTGTTTAATTAGTGTTTAAAACAATTATTTTTGTTTTGAGACGCCAACAAATTGAAATATGCTTTTTATAGAGTTAGAATTAACAAAAACGACAATGTAAATTTGCAAGGATTTTAAAGCCAAATTAAGCAAGCAAAATTATTTGATTATGGTATTTTGAGGGCTGTTGATTTTAAATGAAAGTCAGTGTAAAATACCACATTTTCAGCTTAAACAGAAAATTTAAAATTTTCGAAAAATGTTTCAAAAAATGCAAAATATTAAAATTTGGTAAAAAACTTATTCGGGGAGACGCCATCTTAAAACTGCTTTATTCAAAAAAAAAACAAGGCTAGCGAAATAAGGATTTTAATGCAATTATAATACATTTAATTCCAATTACAAAAAAATCTCAACATTTACAAGCAATTAAAATGGGAATTAATGGGGGAAATGCTGTAATGAATGCGCAGTAAAGAGGAGCGGCTCGTAATTTTATTTTTTTCAAAAACATGTGGGGGGAACTGGCGTTTTTTATTTCCGCGAATTTCGGAATTTTTTCGAAACATTGTTTTCCAAAAAAATCGTACTGTAGGTACCGTTCTGTAATTACAACTACAAAAACAAACAGAATTTACAATCATTTTTTTGGTCTTAAAAAATGCACAGTAACGAGTAGTCACTCGTAATATTTCATTCATTAAAGCAAACGCCGCACTAGGGGTTTTTCTATTCCGCGGATTTTCAGAGTTTTTTGAAACATGAATTTCAGCAATTTCAAAAACGTTTTTCCTTAAAGAAAACATGTTTCGTTTATCGTACAAAATTGCGCTGACTTTGTTTGAACAACCCTTTTTGCTAACAAAAAAAAATTATTCAAAATTTTAGGCCTGCTTTGTGATTTTTACACAACTTACAACTTACAATTTTTTTTTACATTTTAGAAAATCCTAAATTATGCAATTTTAGCTCAATAATCATCGAATCCTAATAAACGGCGCAAACACGAAATGGAAGAAAAATTTGAATGCGTTGAAGATACGACTCCATACGCCCGTACGGTCCATCTTGGAGGACGTGACGCGGAGGTGGGAATGGCGATTCTTTTGGAACTGGAAAGGGTTTATTGGATTTCTGGTGATGTGAATCGATAAACTGGCGCCCAGACTACAGACTACACCTCTTATCCCGAGGCTACAGACTACAAAATCGCTGCCATGTGAACGACCCGGGTTCGAATCCCGGTCGGCGCTAACTTTTTGCTTTTTGTATATTGATCCAGTTTTTCGGTTGCGATAGGCAAACTGACATCCAGAATACAAGGTACAACTTTTATTTTCGGGCTATAGACTACAGATACGCCAATAGGCCTACCACCCGAGTTCGAATCCCGACCGCGGCTAATTTTTTGCTTTTTGAAATTTAAGGTGATTTCTCGATACAAATCGATAAACTGGCATCCAAACTACAAACTACAACGGCTATGTCTTTAATTAGTTACTTAGATACCTTATTACAGTGTATACATTCGAGCTGGACGAGCTTCAGCCGGGGTGGATAGCGGAATATCGGATAGTTGTCGAATAGGGCCACGAATTGAACGATATCTCCTGAAAAATCAGTTTAATTTAATAATTTAATTAAGTAATTTAAAACCAAAAAAATGCTAGAAAAAATAAAAATAATTAAAAATTCGATTCTGGGCTGTTAGCGGGGGGGGAGCTAATTTGTATTTTTCAACTTAGCTGTAAAATATACAAAAAATGTATTTTTAGTGTTTTTTAGTAGCCTTCGATGGCTAGAAGTTCAGATTCCAAACCGATTTGCAGCTATATTCTAATGTAAATTTTTCAAATTTCTATTCTTTGGTAATTTTTGAAACATTAAAATTCAAAAATCGTCCTTCGAAAATCTGGTAATTTAAATCTTGCCGAATAATGTTTTGAGCGTGTTCTTGCTATATTAAGATTGCTAGAAAGTGACTTTCAAACGAGAACTGTATTTTTTTAATAATGTCCATTTTTTAGCTATTTTTGAAACATTTTTGATGCGCAAGTCAAAATTGCTAAAAATTTTGAAATTTAAATGACGTCATTTTAAACATTAAACGAAAAATAGATAATTAAAAATTGGGTTGTTCAAAAACTCGAAAAATTAAAAATTTACCCTCATCCAGCAGTTTCAACATCTCGGTGAAGGCGTGGGTGGCCGAGACGTGGAGCACACCCTTCGAGGAGCTCACCTGAATTAATTTTTATAACTTTATTCGCTATTTTGGATGCCAGTTTAATGAATGCCAAAAAAATTAGAGTTCTAGCTACGAACTACAAAAAAGTTCACTCATTAGAAAATTTAGCAAAACTCCAATTTTTCCGATTTTCCGGTAGATGCCTGTTGACATTTGGGGGTACTGTAGATGATTGTTATGATCTAATCGAAAGAGGAGAATGAGTTCTATCACATCCCAACACTATCATCTACGCTATCCCTATATATAGCCATTTAAAGGGGTAAGAACACCCGGAAAATCGCCATTTCGGCACTTTTCCGAATTGGTTCTATTGACGTTTAGGGGTACTTTAGGTATTAAAATAACCTCAAAAATTGTTTTAAATCCTAAAAATTACCACTCTCTCACCATACGGCCCAGATAATTCCACCTCGAAACTGTAGACGTTGTGGGCGGTGAGGGGAGCATTGGTTCGGTCTGGAAAGATATGGGGTTACAAAAATCGAACTACAAACTATAAAAAGAACATTATTCTTGTAATAGCTCAACTGACATCCAGACCATCAATTACAACCCTTAGATCGAGGCTACAAACTCCAGAAAAGTTACTAGGTGGATGTCCCGGGTTCGAATCCCGGCCGGAGCCCGTTTTTTGCTTTTTGAAAATTGGACTATATTTGAGCCAGAAATTGCTGAACTGACATCCAAACTACAAACTACAACTCTTAGACAGAGGCCACAAACTTAGACTAACGACTCATGTTCGAATCCCGGCCGAGGCCAACTTTTTTGCGTTTTGAATTTGGAGCTTAATTTTTAAGTTTTTTTTTTTGCGTGATGATTAACTGGCATCCAGACGACAAACTACAAAGCCCAGTCTAGCCATCTAGCAGAGAAATTTGAGGAAAATGGCCGTTACCTCATTCCACTGGGATGTGAGATGAGGGTGGAGTTGTTATCGTAGAAACATCGTATCGTCTGTCCCAGCGATTCAGGCACGTAGCCGAGCAACGACTCGAACGCGTTCTCGATCCCAGTTATTCGGATTGACTACAAAAATTATATTTGTAAACTCAAAAATTCAAATTGTTTGAAATATGGTTGTAAAAATGGTTTTTAATTATTAATTATTTTTTTCCCGGAAAATCAAATTTTTCAAAAGTTTTTCGGGGTTTTGGGATAGTGATTTTCTGTGATTTTCAGTAACTTAAATTCGTTTAATTTCTGCAATAAAAAATTTCAATTTTGATTGAAATTTTGAAAACCGAGTTTCCAAAAATCGAATTTTTCGGAAACCAATTTTCAATTTTCAAAAATTTTTTGCGGCTGGAAAAAATTGCTTTTCTTTGATATAATAGAATGCCAGGCAGTTTAAATAAACCAACAAAAAATAGAAACATAATTAAAAATTCGGACCTGTACGCTGCCCTTCCACTGTACGGCCGTCCCTTTCAGCTGGGAGCAGTCAATTTGGCTGGCGATTTGATTGGCCGATCGGGGGGCGCAGTGCTTCTCGAATTGCATCCTGAACGGTTAATTAGTTTAATTGCATGCCAGTTCAACTTATAAAATTCTTCAATCTAAAAAAAATACATAGCAAAAGCAAAAAAAATCAAATTTTTGGAAAATATCGTGGTTTATATCATTAAAAGTACCGTAACTCGAGATATTTGCAATATTTTCTAAACATTGTTTTTGTAGTTTGTATTCTGGGGGACAGGCTACAGGCTACAACAAAAAGATAAAATAAAAGGAGAAGAATCACCGAATGAATATCTCTACATAAATTTCGCGAAAAACAAAATGTTTCATAAAATGACAATGAGAATACCGAATTTTGGCCCATTAATACGTTGTCTTGGATCGCATCCTTTATCTTCTCTAGTTTAATTTCAAGCCAGTTTACATTTTACAACTGAAAACAAAATATCTAATGGTATTTTTTAACCAAATTCCGCAAAGAAGAACGTGTTTCATAAATTTTTCTAGTTTTGTAAACTTTTGGCCCACTAATGTCTGATAGCCGATCTGTTTCATTATTTCGATTAATTTTTCGCCAGTATTTTGTATTCTGTGCTACAGGCTACGGACTACACCCAAGAATCGAAAAATTCATAAAGTTTTGAAAAATCCAGTTTTTGGAAGTTCCAGATTTTTTTCCTATTAAAAGTACGATAGCTCGATATATTTGCAATATTTTCCAAAAATTGGTTTTGTAGTTTGTATTCTGGATTACAGGCTATAAACTACACCAATATACATGAACCATTTAACGGAGAAGAAATGAAAGAATAAATCCTTGCCCAAATCCCAAGAAAAAAAAGGTTTCATAAAGGGGAAGGACGGTTCCGAGTTTTAGCCTATTAATAGGTAGACAACCGCGAATTAAATCTTGTCGCGTAGACTAGTTTAATCACATGCCAATTTAAATCATACTACTTAAATGAGAGACTATGGGGCTAGTTTTAAATCCATATTATGAAAAACAAAATGTTTCATAAATTTTCCTAGTTTTGCAAATTTTTGGCCGATGCGCTGGCCCGTACTAATCGTATACCGTATTAAAAGTACGGTATCTCGCAAGATTTGTAATATTTAAAAAAAATTGTCTTGGGATTTTGCATTCTGTGCTACAGGCTACAAACTACACCCAAGAACCGAATATTCATAAATTGTTTAAAAATCCAATTTTTGGAAGCGCCAGATTTGTTCCTATTAAAAGTACGATAGCTCGATATACAGGGTGTCCCAAAAAAATCGACCCCCCTCTAGCGGGCCGCAGTCATGTCCGATTTTGACGATTTAGGTATCTATCGAAAGCACTCGAAAAGGCGAGAAAACAAGCACTTTTCGTTTTTCAATATGGGAATTTTAATTCATTAAATTTAGGGCCAAAATCGATGAAAACTGCAGATTTTATGCAAAAACGGCATGTTAATTGCTTGCTAAAGCAAACAGGACGATGCTGGTTTTACGCTTTTTACAGAAATCATTGAATATCGAGCGAAGGCTAAAATTTTCGGAAAACCAAAGTCGCTTGTTTTCTCACCGTTTGAAGGGCTTTCGAATGGTGTGAAAATCATTCCGATCCGAGCTTTCTGCGGTCCGCTAGAGGGGGGTCGATTTTTTTTGGGACACCCTGTATTTGCAATATTTTCTAAACATTCTTTTGGTAGTTTGTATTCTGGACTACAGGCTATAAACTACACCAAAATACATGAACGATTTAGCGGAGAAGAAATAACAGGATAAATCTTTGCCTACTCCCACGAAAAACAAAAGGTTTCATAAAATTGGGATGATAATTCCGGATTATAGCGTATTATTGAGTTCTCCGGTTACATTCTAACGCGTAGTTTAGTTTATTTGCATGCCAGTGTAAATCATGCTACTTAAATAAAGCATTTTTGGATATTTTTTAAATCAATGTTAATAAAAATCAAGTGTTTCATAACTTTTCCTAGTTTTGCAAATTTTTAGCCCACTAACTTATAAATCCTCACTTGTGTTTTCAATTAAGTTTCGTATTCTGTAGTCTGGATTGCAGGCTACAAACTATGCTCAAGAATAGATCCAAAAATTAAAGCAATATAAGAAAAATTAGAGAATAAGATTTTGTGAAAATGGCATTATTAAAAGTACCGTATCTCGACGAGTTTCTAAAAATTGTTTTTGTATTTCGTATTCTGGACTACAGACTACAAACTACCTCAAAAAATTAAAACAAAAATTTAACGGAGAAGAAACAAAAGAATGAAACTTTACCTAAATTACATGAAGAAAAACAAAAGGTTTCATAAAAGGGGAAGGACAATTCCGAGTTTTCGCCTATTAATGCGCAGAAATCTCGGATTCCATCCTATCGCGTAAACTAGTTTATTTGCATGCCAGTGTAAATCATGCTACTTAAATAAAGCATTTTTTGGCTATTTTTAAATCAATGTCATTAAAAATACAGTGTTTCATAAATTTGCCTAGTTTTGCAAATTTTTAGCCCACCAATGTGCGGACAGTCCGTAGCTTTCATATTTTCGACTAATTTTTCGCTCGTATTTTGTATTCTGGATATTCTGATATTCTTATTCTAGATCTACTAACGACAACAAAAATACAAAAATTTGCCGGAGAAGAAATGACAGAAACAATCCTTGCCCAAATTCCACGAAAAACAAAAGGTTTCATAAAATTGGGATGATAATTCCGGATTCTAGCGTATTAATGTGTTCTCCGCTGACATCCTATCGTGTAGTTTAGTTCAGTTGCATGCCAGTGTAAATCATGCCACTTAAATAAAGCATTTTTTAGCTATTTTTAAATCAATGTCATTAAAAATAAAGTGTTTCATAAATTTTCCTAGATTTTGCAAATTTTTAGCCCACTAATCCCTGTCAGTTCTACTTTCAATTAATTTTTTGCGCTCGTATTCTGTAGTCTGGATTGCAGGCTACAAACTACACCCAAGAACCGCTCGAAAGATTAAAACAATATAAGAAAAATTAGAGAATCAGATTTTGTGAAAATCGCATCATGAAAATACCGTATCTCGCCGGATTTGTAATGTTTTCCAAAAAAATTGTTTTTGTATTTCGTATTCTGGACTACAGACTACGAAATACACAAAAAAACAAATTAACAATTCGCAATTTCGAGGATTTTTTGGTTTTTTAGGCTTGCAGAAATTCGGCCTACCAGGTCATGTTCGAAACATCAACACAGGGGTCGAATTGGAATTGGCCCTGATAGAGGAATGAGACGGCCATCAGAAGGGCCAACAAATACGCCATCGCCAACACCCAGCGACGCTTCCTCGAATCTTCCGGAAATACTGCAAAATATCGAATTTTTTCCCGTATTTAGCATCTGACTGTTACATGGAGTAATAACTCCTCCAATTCGCCTTTTGACTACTATCTAGCGCCTGGAATTACTAAGCTGTCATCCAGACTACAAACTACAACGCTTATTTTGAGACTACAGGCTACAGGAAAGCTACCAGGCGAACGGCCCGGGTTCGACCCCCGCCAGCGGCTAGCTTTTTGCTGCTTGTAATTTAGGACGAGCTTAAGTTGCTAATCGCTTAATTGGCATCCAGGATACCGAAGACACGCAAACTACAGTACCAGAAGCGAACTACAGTACCCCTAAACGTCAACTGGACCGATTTGGAAAAGTGCTAAAATGGCGATTTTCGGGGTGTTCTGCCCCCTTTAAATGGCCAGATCAAGGGATAGGATAGATGATAGTGTTGGGATGTGATAGAACTCATTCTCCTCTTTCGAATAGATCTTAAAAATCATCTACAGTACCCCCAAATGTCAACAGGAATCTAGCGGAAAATGGGGAAAATGGGATTTTTGCCACATTTTCGAATGGGTGTAACGTTTTGTAGTTTATAGCCAGAATGTCAATCCTTTGGGAATAACTAAATTGACATCCAGCCCACGGAATTCAACCCATATTTTGAGGCTACAAAGTACAAAACCCCCTAAAGTCTCGCCTTGTACTTTGTAGAGTTTGGCGACGTATCCGTACAGCTTGGCAAAGATGAAGGGTGATGCCAAGACGCAGAGGGTGACCAACGCTTTCGCCACGCTCAGCTGACAGTTTATTTAAATTATTCGCGGATCTAACAATTAAAAAAAGACTAATAAAAAAGAATTTTTTTTAATTGGCAAAAAATTGTAAAAAATTTGATTTTATTAAATGCAAAAATTATTTTTTAATTTGTTTGATAATGTAAATAGGTTAACTGTCTGACAGCTTAATTAATAAAATTATTAAAACACACCCATTGCACGAATGGGCGAATCTGGGCGAGTAGAGCCCCGGCAAAGACGATGCCAATAGTCATGGAATAACTGCTGGGGAGAAAGAAGAGAATCGCTGCACTCGCCGTCAATAGGCCGTCGATGTACTAAAAATGCATATTTTTAAATGAAATCGAAACACGAAAATCGAAAAACATAAAAAATAAAAAAAGAAGAAAAATCCAGATTTTCTGAATTTTTTTATTACTTTGTGGTTCTTTTGATTTTTTTTGGACTCGAGCCCGTTTACGGAATGAAAATATCGGGATTACGGTAGGTTCGGATGCGCATCACAGCTTACAAGGGAAGGGCGAATGCGCGATCTCGAAATTCGAAAAACGCTCGCGGCTACCCCCAGGTTATCGACTACGGGTAACACGATGGTGTTGTCAGAATTTTCCACCGAGCCCTGTAGAGCGAGATACGGTACTTCCGGAAAAAGGATCATTTGCATGCGAGAAATTAGAATGATCCCTGAGGTTTATTAGGAGCTTCCAAGTATCCATCACTGTCGGTGAGTTAGTCGAGTGCTAACGGGCTCGCTTTTTTGAAATACCAACGAGGGTTCGCTTCCACTCGTAATTCTTTTTTGCTTATTGGAGCGCTATTTTTGCCTGGCATTGACAGTAATTTCCCAACGCTTCAAATAATTTTTTTTGCAAGCTCCGAGCTCCAAAGCAAACAAAAACCAAACATGCACACCGACCGACGACGAAAAACAAAAAAAAGCTGGCGACCGGTTGTGTTGTTGCAAATTGCCCCCAAGAAAACAAAAACTCTTGTTCTCTTGTTCTAAACTCTTGTTGGTATTTCAAAAAGCGAGCCCGTTAGCACTCGACTAACTCACCGACAGTGATGGATACTTGGAAGCTCCTAATAAACCTCAGGGATCATTCTAATTTCTCGCATGCAAATGATCCTTTTTCCGGAAGTACCGTATCTCGCTCTACAGGGCTCGGTGGAAAATTCTGACAACACCATCGTGTTACCCGTAGTCGATAACCTGGGGGTAGCCGCGAGCGTTTTTCGAATTTCGAGATCGCGCATTCGCCCTTCCCTTGTTAGCGATTTTAACAAAAAAAAGAGAAAACAAATAATCGAAAATTCATAAAAAATACAGTCCAAAATAAAATCGTTAAAAACCACAAAAAAAATTTAAATTTTCCAGTTTTCACATGCAGGATTTTTATGTTTTTGAAGTTTTAAAATGCCTAATTTTGCTCAACGTAAAAACGCAAAAAAAAAGATTTTTTTTGTTAAAAATCCAATGTTCCGCAAAAAGATGGATTTTCGCACCATTTAGAGTGGATAATTCCACTCGCTGTCCATTAATTTATTATTTTAAAGGTCCCTGGCAGTCAGTTTATCGATTTCGAAACTCTGGAATTCCCTACCGTAAATGATTGCCACCCAATCATCCACATTGTCATCGCGATATCCGCCCACACGATGCAGATCTGCAAAAAATAAGGTTTTTCACGTTTTTTCGCCAATTTTTTGTTGCTGTTTAAATTATTGGTTTTTAGGGATTTAAACTGTCATCTAACCTTTAAATTGACAAACTCATCAGCTTCGGAAATAAAAATTTGGTTAGACATTCAAAAATGCAAGACTTTTTGCATTTTTTTGCCGAAAAAAGCCGATCGTTATTATTATTGTTATTCTAATATTTTGAAAAACCACAAAACTAAAGAATTTTTGGAAAAAAATTTCGTCTCTTATTCGAACAGAAAATTGCCCCATTGCCGCAACCGCCAAAGTCTGACATTTGTTTAATTTTGAAACATTTATTTCTGTTATATTTTCGGTTATTTTATTATTTTTCAAGCATTTCACATTTGGCTTTGCATAAAATTGTGTGTCAAACTGTTAACACATTAGATCGGTTACTACTTTCAATCTTAAAATTTAAGCCAAAAATTATAAAATCCGATGTTTCCAAATTTTTCGAAATTCGACAATTTCAAAAAAGATTATTTTGCTATTTAATTTTTCTTGAACGGAAATTCGAACTGTCATCCAGACTTTAAATCGGTATACTGAATCGAAGCAAAAGTTTGAAATTCAAAATTATTGTAAAAATGTATAAATGTAAAAATGCCAATTTTGGAAAATTATTGAAACTCAATTTTTCGAAAAATTTTGTTTTGTTTTGGCTTGATAATTCAAACTGTCACTCAATCGTTAAATTGTTAAACTCACGAGATGCGGAACGATGAGCTGTGCCCTCTCGGTCCACGTTGATTGTCGATAGGCCATCATAGCGTATGCCACCGGGATTGAGAGCCACGCGATTGAACATAACGACAGGGACAGCGTGAAATACGCTGAAAAAGAATTTTTCGATCCTGAATGATCTCTGCTAGCCTGCCCAAAAATTTTGGATTTTTTACTAGAAAAAATAAAAATATGAGAAAAATTAAAAAAAATTGTTAAAAAATGTTTCAAAAAAAGAAACTGCATCAAAAATCCAAAATTGCCTAATTGAAGGGAATTCCCCATATGCGATAATCTATTATTTTTAGCACGAATCTCTGCTAGCTGGCCCCCAAAATAGCTAAATCCAGATTTTCTATCCTAGATTCTCTCTGCTAGCCGGCCTAATGTTTTTCGGGTTTTAAAAAATGGAAAAACTGATTTTATTTCAAGAAAACACGAAACAGTCTTCCGTCTTTCCTAACAACGTGTTTTAAAAAATGGCAAGGAGTGGAAAGTCGCAATTTGCTTAATCAATACTCCGTTTGGTGGCGCAAATGAATTCAATAACGAATCCTATCCTATAAGCGAGAAAAGTATGTCTGTTTTCTGTGCAGCCGATTTCTCGGCCGTCGGGCCGAATTTCCGGCTGATTTTTGGCACGGAGGTGGAGCAAGACGTTCTCTTTATAGGCATTTTTTTGTTTTTTGATATTCCTTCATTTAACGATTTTACAAGCAAAATAGTGAAAAACTCTTAACATTTTGGCCGAACAAAGGTTTGTTCAGAAGATATCTCGATTACCAGATCGAATCGGGCTCTAATTTTTGGAGGGTAGATGGGAAATACAATTCTCCCGATATATAATTTTGCGTTTTGTATGTTTTTGTAAAATAAAGTTTTTATGAGCATTTTTCTAAAAAGTCCTTAACAAAATCGGCGAAGAGCCGTGGTGTTCAGGCCATAACTCGAAGCCCAGATGGAATTTCGGTGTGTAATTTGGACCACTTATGTATTCGATGATGGGGATCATGCGCATCTTATTATCTTTACAAATTTTCAGCGGATTGAGATTCAAAAATGGAATTTTGTAAAGTGACCAGAAGGCCTCCCGCCCGGGGCATTGGCTCGGCCCTTTCATTGCCTCCCCTCCCCTCCCCAGAACGGAAGAGGCCTTTCCTGCCCCCTGTCCCCATGTGCCACTTGGTGTATGGGGTTAGCTCCCGGGCTACCACGCGAAAGGACATAGGTTCGGATCCTGGGCGAATTTGGCTTTTTGCTTTTTGGTAGTTTAGCAGTAAAACATCTTTCTATGCTCTCGCTATGCGAGGTTTAGGCCTGACCCTCGATCTAGCGCCGCAGGCCGAAGAAAAGGTCCTTGATCAAGGCTCTTGCGCCGCAGGCCAACGATGGGTCCATGATCTAGGCTCGCACCGCAGGCCAGATCCTGGAGAGCAGCCAGTAACTAGCGCTGCAGGCAAAAAGTTTCTAGCGCGAGGTTTAGGCCTGGCTCTGGCTCTAGCGCCGCAGGCCAAAGAAAGGGTCCTTGATCCAGGCTCTCGCGCCGCAGGCCAAAGAATGGCTCCTTGACCAAGGTACTTGCGCCGCAGGCTAAAAAAAGGAAGGTGTTCAGATTCATGGTTCCTGGACGGGGTCCAGTGGAAAAGAGCCGCGAAGCGGTCTTTTTCCACTGGTCAATTCAATAACGGACCTCAGCTAGCTGACCTCAAAAAAATATGAAAATCCCGATTTCTATCCTGAATTCTCTCTGCTAGCCTGCCTAAAAATTTTGGATTATAAAAAACCAATTTTTTAGCGCATTTTGCAACCAAATGTTTCAAAAAACAAGGATGAGACGGAAACTCGAAATTGCGTAATGAAGATTTTCGACGTCCAGCCGACAATTGTTTTTTCAAGTTTGTTAAAATTTTTATCACGGATTTCTGATGCTGGCTGTCTAAAAATTTAACTCTACGATTTTCACGTTTTGTTTTTTACAAAAAAATTGTTTCAAAAAAATGCAAAGGTGGGAAAAAGGAAACATTGTTAATGGCTAATTGGATTGCCAAACACCTGTCCGAAGAACATCTGTCCGAAAAATCACCCGTCCGAAAAAACATGGGTCCGAAAAAACACTTGTCCGAAAATCTTCTATCCGAAAAATCATATGTCCGAAAAGTCACCTGTCCGAAAAACACCTGTCCGAAAAACTAATGTCCGAAGCAGCCAATCAAAACCCTTTTCGAATTACTTAGTCAGTTCCTAAAGGTTCGAGGTGTAACTGCCACCAGATAGCCCCACGTGGGGAAAGCCCCGGAATCGTGACCAAACCAAGTTTCATCGGCCGTATCTTAGGGAATGGCTGCTCGAGCTCATTGAGTCACTCTCCAAAAATTTATGATACAGTAGCGGTTCGTATTCCTGGAAACTACCCTCCCATTTTCTCCAAAACCCGGTTTGAATAGATTTCCTGAAGGTCTTGGGAAGCTTCAGCCGAACTTCGATTTCCGAAAATGACTTTTCGGATTTTCAAAAATCAGTAGATTTTCGAATGGATGATTTTCGGACAGGCGACGTTTCGGACGGGTGATTTTTCGGACAGATGTTTTTCGGACAGGCGATTTTTCGGACAGTTGTTTTTCGGACAGATGTTTTTCGGACAGGTGTTTTTCGGACAGGTGATCGCCACCCGGCTAATTGTGCACGCAGATTACAAAACGGTTTTTAGGTCGATTCACGTTCTAAATACCCATAAAATTGATTGATTTAATTCCGAAAAAAATCTGCCTACCAAATCGAAATTCCATGACCGGCTTCCACACTTTCCAATAACCAATTGGGAGGCGCATTCGAGAAAAAATCGTTGGAAGACTGAAAATCATACGTTCAAAATCATTGTATGTTGTAGTCTGACTGCCAGTTTAGCGATTCCCAAAAAATTAGAGCTCCAGCTACAAACTACAAAAAATTACACCGATCCGAAAATTTGGGAAAGAATCCAATTTTTCCTGATTTCCGTTGGATTCCTGTAGACATTTGGGGGTACTGTAGATGATTGTTATGATCTATTCGAAAGAGGAGAATCAGTTCTATCACATCCCAACACTATCATCTACCCTATCCCTAGATCTAGCCAATTAAAGGGGGCAGAACACCTCGAAAAATCGCAATTTTGGCCTTTTCCGAATCAGTCCTACCGACGTCTAGGGCTACTGTAGGCAATTTGAATGCTTGTAGTATGTACTTTGTATGGCAGTCAAGCTCAACGTACCAGCTAATGAAATTGGCGACCACGGCATAGATGGCAAAATGATCGAGACGATCGGCCAGGGCGAAGAACGTGATCAGAGAAAAGCCTGCCGATACTGCGCACAGTAGACTAAAAAAATGGCTATTTTAAAGGGAGATAAACGATACATGCCTGCAATACGGTAGATACTTGCCCGCAGCCCCAATCGCCAGCACAAACACGAAAAGGGCCAACACGAAATTGAGATACGGGTCCCAGTTTTCGGTCAGGAACAGGGATTCCTGAAATTGTCAGTAATGGTCGAAATCTTGATGGATACGGTAGTCCGGATAAAATCTCGACGAAAATATCTGATTCCCAGACTACAAACTACAACGAGATAACTGGCCGAAAATTGTGTTTTTTAAGATTGAGTTTTTCAAAAACGGAGAATCGATTTTTTTTTAGTAAATTTAAATTAAAATAAACTTATTTATTAAATTTAAAGATTGTTAATTGAATTTAATTAATTTGGAAACCCACATATGGCTGCCGATCCGTGTTTTCTTCGCCAAAAAGATGAAGCAGGCGGCGTTTGATCTCTTTTTCTTTCTAAAAAAAACGTGGAAAAGCGGTGCTGGGCTGTTAGCGGGGGGGGAACTGCTAATTTCTATCTCTCCAGCTATGTCTAGCTGCCAAAATGTAGGAACCAATTTTATAGTGTTTTACTAGTTTTTTATTGCCGCAAACAGAACTTGGGTCAATTATAAACTTCGAATTTGCGTACTTTTTAAAAATTTTTGAAACATTTTTGGACAAAAATCCAAAAATTTGATTTTTTTTTGTATTTTTTGTAATAGCTTTTTATGTGGAAACTATGAAAATAGATTTACTTACTCCTCCCCCGCTAAGAGACCAGTACCGAAATGGCCCCTAAAGGGATCAAGACACACACCTTGGCATTCTTGTTGTGAAACATTTTGAGCGTCATATAGGCCATCGCGATGAAGGCACCGTAGGCAATTAGCATCGGAAGCACGTGGAGAATCGCTTGGAGACTGAAAAAGCGGGTTTAAAGCACAATTGAAGGCTAAAGAGGCGGCTCACGGGTTCGAATCCTACCGGGGCATAACTTTTTGCTTTTTAAAATTTTAGCTTAGTTTTTAATTGGAATTTCTAAGCTGGAATCCAGGCTACAAAATATCACTTCTGGGGCCAGACTACAGACTATAAAAAGCTTCTCAACGAACGACCCGGGTTCGACTCCCGCCTGGGTAAAAGTTTTTTGCTTTTTGCAATTTGTGCGGAGTTTTCAATGAGAATTCATAAACTGACATCCAGACTACAGACTACAACCTTTATATCCGGGCTACAGACTACAAAAACGTTTCTAGGCGAACGACCCGGGTCCAAACCCAGCCTGGCTCTAACCTTTTGCTTTTTGGAAAATAAACCCAACTTTCACTATGGATCCGTAAAATGACATCCAAACTACAGACTGCAACCCTTAATGGACTATTTAAACGCTTACAATAGAAATTACAAGGGGTGGATACCTGATAAATTGCACGAGACACACGAGGATCAACGTCTGCACTTGTTGGAAGGGAAACACGGCATAGGCGATGTGCACCTAAACAAATAAAAATAACGAAAATAAAATTGACTTCGGCTCCACTAGATTAATTAAGATTAATTAAGTTTAATCTAGCTCACTAATTCAGAAAAAATTTTGATTTTTGTAAAAATGTTTCGAAAAAACTCAAATCTACGCCAGAAATAAACTCTATAATTCTTGATTGCTGACAACTTGAAAAAAAGGCATTTTTCCGTTTTGAAGCCCATCAATTTTTTAGATTTAGATCAAATTTTTAGATCCGGTCAAGTTTAAGATTTTAAGAAGTTAAAGTTCATTTAAGAAATTTTTACAAACCAAATGTTTCAGAAATATGACGAAGCCGGTCAAAAGTTTTTGCGCTTATTGTTAGCTTCTTTGTCGGTTTTCATTTAATCTAATAAATTTAACCTGATCTAATTTTTAATTTAAACAATATTTAAATCATATATGCCTAAAATAAATGCTCTCAGACATGAACAAAATTTTGAAGAAAAATGTTTCAAAAAAATTAAAAAGTTGATAGCCATCGAAAAGTTTAATTCTGGCAAATCATGCCCCAAATTCGATTAACAAAACAAAAAAATTTAATTCAAATTTAAATAACTAAGGAAACTTCAAATTTTTTAAAATTGATGGCACTGATGAAAAGGAATAAAGTTCGCTTCAAAACAATGTTTCAAAATTTCTTAAAAAATTGGCAAAAGCAAAACATATAATCTTTTTAGCGGCTGTATTTAAAAATTTAATACCATTAATAATTTTCAATTAATGTTTAGAAAGTTTCCGAAAATTTCTCATTTTTACAAAAAAAAGGTTTCGAAAAAATTCAAATTACCGGTCGATTCAACACCTTAATTTTTCTTGTATGCTGACGATCGCTACGAAAAATCGCCTATTTAAAAGTAAAATAATAGATTTATAATTTAATTTAAAAACTATCTATAATACAGGGTGTCCCAAAAAAAAGCACCCCCTCTATCGACGAGTAGTCGATTCCGATTTTTATCGTTTAGGTATCTATTGAAAGCTCTTGAAAAGGCGAGAAAACACGGAGGGTTCATTTTCTTTATTATCTATTTTTATTAGCAAATTTTACGTCCAAAAACCATGAAAACGGCAGATTTACGCGAGATCTGCATGCTAATCGCGAAATTCCTATTGAAAATCTACCTGTTTTTTAGAAAAACGTTGAATATCCAGCGTGTAAAAATAAATCTCATAAAATAAATCCCGCTTGTTTTCTCGCCTTTCCGAGAGCTTTCGAATGGTATAAAAATTATCCCGATCTGAGCTTCCCCCGGACCGCTAGAGGGGGGGTGCTTTTTTTTGGGACACCCAGTATTTTGCCAATTATTTTTTTAATTGTTTTGAAAATTAGCTCGAATTACGTTTTTTTACGAATTAATTTAATTTAAGTAAGATTTTCTAAACTGACCCATTGCTGGTTGATCTTGGCGAGGACAAACTCGATGAAGCTGTCGATTTTCTGTTTGGCGGCTTTTCGAAGTCGTTTTGGGAGTTTTTTCTTCTTTTTCTTCTTGTCCTCCTCATTTCCGTCTTCTCTGTCTCCCTCTTCTGTCGATTCCTCTTCCATTAATGCATCCACGAACAGACGCTCGCCCTCCTGAAAACTCCGCAAATTATCTTTGCTAGCTTGCCCAAACTATCTTCTGGGTGTCGCCACGCCTTGAAAATTCCGCGAAGAATTTCTGCTAGCATGCCATTCCGTTAACTGGCTGCCAGTTTATCGATTCGAAATTCCTAAATGACCCCTGATAGCCTACCCTGTCCTTAAATTGTCCCTGCTAGCTTGCCAAGGCCTATTCTGGCTGTAAAAACGAACCGAACGCTATAAAATCCCATGAAAGCCCCAAATTGCCATTCCTTTAACTGGCAAGCAGGTAATCGATTACGCATTGAAATTTCGCAAAAATTCGTTGGTGAAACCGATTACGGGACGAAATGTTTGAAAAACCTGGCAAAACATGGAAAAATCAACCGAATACGCTATGAAAACCGCCGGCAGGCCTTATGGACTCTACTAGCTTGCCATTCGCTAAACTGGCTGTCAGTTAATCGATTACGCTTTAAAATTCCGCGGAAATTCGATGGCGTAACCGATTACGAGATGAAAATCGATTAAAATCGTCAAAAAACCCGATTACGTCATAAAAATCACCTCATCATCATCAAGGAGGGCAGCCGTCTCGGCCATCTCCTGTTCTCTCTCCGTCATTTGCATCACTTGTTCCAAAAGTTCTGCAAATATTACCTTATCCCTTAAAAAGATACAGTAACCCACGATCCTTGGTGATATTCTCATCATCTTCGACAAGTCTCGCCGCGGCCCTCAGCCCCGATTCCCCTCCCATCCGCGGGTTCTTCGCCACGAAACTACGGTACATCTTCCGCGCCGCCGCATCGCCGCCTAAAAAAATTACAAGAAAATTTTTTTAATTTAAATAAGAAAATTATTTTAATACCAGGGTTGAAAAGCCGCTTCGCGACTTTTCAACCCTGGCCCCGTCTAACCCATCATATTCTTCGCTCTGCATAGGTCTCTCTAATGCTTGCATTGAAAAATGCAAAAAGCCCTTTCTCGCATTATATATAGGCCAACGCCACTTCCGGAGTATGCTAATTTTTCCTAACAAAGAGATCGGCCGCTTTTTCAACAAAAACTTAATTTTAATGTCGAAAATAGCAGAATTTGCAACATTTGATATGCGTGCAGTCATCCCAGAGCGATTACGCATCTAATGACGTATCATACGTTGCTTAATACCCTTCCCTTCTTGAGATATCTTCCGGACACCCTGACGGAAGTTGCATGCAAAGTGGCACACACACACACTAACACACAGACACTATTTTTTTATATATAGTAGGATTTAGATAATTTTTTAATACATTAAAACTCTTTCATCGTTTTATCAATTCCTAACTTTTTCCTAGTTGTACTGGCATCCAAAAAACGTCAAAATAATTTTTACAATTTTTATGTTTCGACAAAAAATCTTAAAAAGTGGTGAAAATCATTCATAATCGGTGAAAAATTTCAAATTTTTACTCTAAAAATTTATTTTAAATTTTTTCGACATTTTTTGGTTATTGTAGATCAAACTGCTCACCAGTAGATACAAAAACGATTTTTAATTCCGATTAGAACATACCGTAATTTAGAAAAATCGACTTACCCTTCAACCAGGGCCCGCCGCCATCCCCTTCATTCGAGCTGTTCGAGCCGCGACGCGCGCTTAGAAAGCGGCTCATTCTGAAAAAAAACTTTTAAAAATGATAGTACCTATTTAATTGTATAAAAACCATAGAAAATCAAAACCAAAAAAAAAATTAAAAAACAAATTTTTAAAAATTTCAAAATTTCAAAATTGCAAATTTTTGGAATTTTCCAAAACGAATCCTTTATAAAACTAATGTCCATTTTTGCTTGTAGTTTGTAGCCTGGCGTCCAGAAAGTTTGTTATTTATAAAAATGTATAAATTTCAAATATAAAAATCGAAAAATTTCAAATAATCGTAATTTTTCGAAATTTCGGAACTCAATGCACGAAAATTCAATTTCTAGGCTCTATTTTTGCTTGTAGTTTGTAGCCTGGCACCCAGATAGTCGATTTATAAAGTTCAATTACCTTGAAAACACGCAAAACAATTTTAAAACATCGCAAACCCGTAAAAAGCGTGCTTTAAATCATATAAAACAAGGAAATCCAATATTCTTAACAAAGACAACTTAATAAATTTCGTCACCAGACAGCTAAGACTCTCCAAAACTCGGCGCACACAAACAACCCCTTTTCTTGCAACTTTCCGGCCTTTTCCCTCTTTCCGGGGGGTCGGGGGTCTCATGTGTTGATGGATGCCGAGAGGGCGCCGGGTACGGGTGCATGGGGGAGCGCCGCGTAGCCCAGCCCTACGCGGAAAATCCGCTTTTTTGAGGCCATAACCCATCCAATCTAACTTGTTAAGTACACGATTTGATGCAGAATTTTGAGGCGCACATTTCTAGACTGGTGTCAGACGATAAAACTTGGTTTTTCAAGATGAAAATTCGGAAAAACTAGTTTGTGTATACAGTATCCCGGAGTTCCTGTCATTTTTAAACCCTGAAAAGTGTTGCAAAGTGATCGGCGATATACAGTTAGTAAACTCACAAAATTTCGGAAAATTTGTTTCAGTAGATTTTGAGAAAATCGAAAAAGGAAATAAATTTACATACAAAATTTGAAATTTTTGATTTAAATCCGAGTTTTACCTATGTAAATTAGCATTAAAAAGCGAGGGCGTTTATGTTCGAATCCAATCATTCTCCGCTCGCCAGCAAATTCGAATGGCGCCCCTCCGGCCCTTCCTCCTTGTCGTTGTCTTTCTCTCAATGGCCGTCGTCGATGGTAGGGCAGGCTAGCAGAGTTTTTTGGGGAAATGCAATAGCAAATTAGCAGAGAAAATTAAGGAAACTGCAAACTGGTTGCTAGGTAACGAGCAGAGACCTTTTGTGGAATTTCAGCGGCCACCCCTCCCACCCTGTACTGCCCTCAAAAGAATGGCCCGTGGCTGAACAATGGCACTCAATGCCAAAAGGAGTTCGAGAATCCAGAGAAGAAACGCCTCATCGTCTTCTCAGAGATTGTCGTCGAATCGGGCGATCCGAGCAGCTATCAATCACCCAGGAATATCATTCATTATGGTACGGTGGTTAAAGGGCTTTTGAAGGCTATAGATTCTTGCCTTCAATGGCCCTTTAAAAATTGGAAATACGGATTTTTGAGGAGATTGGATGTCAGTTCGGTCAGTCACCACCTTATTTGAGCGCGATCACCTTTTAAAGGACCAATGAAGCCAGTATTCCATAATATATCCCTAGCTGACAGTTTGCCTTCAATGGCCCTTTAAAACCCCAGTGATGTCATGAAAAGAGCTTGGCTGGCTAAACTGACTTTCCGTCTGCTCAAAAAATATTTTCTAAATTTTTAAAGGACCACTGAAGGCAAGATAGTCAATCCACAGTTAGAAATTTGCCTTCAATGGCCCTTTAAAACGCTTTAAAGGGATTGTGACAGCTAACTGAATGCCTTAGTGTGCCCCCAGCGTACGATCTGGTGTCCGGGTATTGTGAACGACACACAACACACGACGTTTGGATGCTATCTCGAGAATACCGTATCCATCACCAAGGAGGGGACCGCCTGTCATTGTGGTGGGAGACATTTTCAGGTCTAAGGGTTCTAGTTTGTAGCCTGGCTACCAGCTAGACGATTCTTAGTAGAAAATTAGCAAAATTTTCAAAAAGCAAAAACTTGGCCGCGGCCGGGGGTCGAACCCGGACCCTGCGTCTAGTAGATTTTTTGTAGTTCGTAGCCTGAAAACAGTGATTGTAGTTTGTAGTCTGGATGCCAGTTTACCCATTCGGCACAAAAAATAACCAAGAAATGCAAAAAGCAAAAAGTTAGCCGCGGCCAGGGAGTCGAACCCGGATCTCGCCTAGTAGCTTTTCTGTGCTTTGTAGTCTCTAGATACAAGTTGTAGCCTGTAGTCTGGCTGCCAGCTAGCGCATGCCAGCCAAAACATCGGCAAAATTCACAACACAAAAAAAGTCCGAACTGCTTGAAGTGGCCGTCGACAACATGACAGCCCCGAGACTCGACCAGGCGCTTCATGAAGAGCTGCAGAAGCTGCTCGACTTCTACCAATGGGTACGTCTCTCTCAAATGGTTTCTGCTAGCCTGCCTTGTTTTTATTCTTCCGAATTTTTTACATTTTCGAAATTTCTAAAAATTTCCATGATTTTAGGCTTTGAAAAATGAGAAACTATTAAAAACGACGTTAGAAATCTTAGACAAACGGACAGCTCCCCCGCTAAGAGACCAGTACCCCGAATTTTCAGGACGCCACCCAGTGCACGAGCAAGGCGCCCGAAGAGAGACCGCGAGGCGTCAGCTTCCCGGTGAGGTTCCTAAATGCTCTCTGCTAGCTCGCCCTGGTTGCAAATTGTGTCTGCTAACTGGAGGGTCAGCTTAACTGGCTGCCGCCGCATCCGATTACACCATTCAAAATGATCCGGGGCAGGCTAGGGGAGACCGTTTGTCAGAAAACTCGGATTTTTTAGCCAAGAATCACTGTGATCCTGCCTGCCTGACCTCAAATTGTCTCTGCTAGCTTGCCATTGACCAGACTGGCAACCAGTTAAAATATACCCGCTTCCCAAATGGTCTCTGCTAGCCTGCCCGCCTCTTTTTAACCGATTACGCGTTGAAAATCCGCCAAAATCGTGCAAAAAACCTGCCAAAACGAATCGATTACGCCAGGTAAATCGCCCCTGTTTTAAGTGGCCGACGTACTGCTCGGTGACGGGGCAACCGTTCAACCCGGTCGACAAGTGCACCATGCATCGAGGAAGTGTCAATTCTGAGGTACGCCATTTCCGACAAGAATCCCTGCTAGCTTGCCCGACATTCCGCAAATTGTCTCGGCTAGCTTTCCATTGTGGGAGCTGGCTGCCAGGCTATCGGTTCCCACTTCCCAAGTGGTCATGCTAGCCTGCGCAACCGATTACGCGACTGAATCCCCTGCAATGCTAAAATTCTCTCTGTTAAGTTGCCATCGTCTGAACTGGCTGCCAGCCTAGCGATTCAAAATTCCCAAATCGTCCCTGCTAGTTTCCGGAATCGATTACGCCATGAAATCATGGGATTTTCAGCCGGAGCGCAAGAAGCGATACGAGGAATGGGATCCGCGCGTCTTCTACTCGGAACATCTGTTCGCCTACGATGGCTCGAGAACGCAGTACACATACGGTAGCCCCTTCCATTTCCCCAAAGGGCCTTTGCTAGCTGGCCAGCTTGATGGCTATGTCATTACGCCTTTAAAACGAAAATTCGGGGTCTCCCGGTTGGACAATCTCTATAAAATTTTTTTTTCCTATCGACTGGCTGCCAGTTTGACCAAATATCGATCGATCCGGTTTTTAAAGGGATTGGCAAGGGCCTATGAATTTGACATATCGATTTTTCCTTCCCGCGCCCTTCCAATGGCCTATGGCCTGTGAAGTGAAAAAGGGGCGTGGCTTACCAAACTGACTTTCAGGCAACTCGAAAATGCAGTTTTTGGGGGCTCTAAAGGTCCATGGAAGGCAAGAATCCATAGCGAACCCCACACAAGGAAGTAGCCTTCCGTGGCCCTTTAAAGCGCCCTTAGAAACAACAATGGGTTGGGGTTTGCTAAACTGGCTGTCAGAAAACTCGAAATTCAACTTCTCAGAGCGTTAAAGGACCATTGAAGGCAGATTTCCACGAAACCATAGCCGTAAAACTGGCTTCCACGGTTAAAGCGTTTTTCAGCGTGTGACCTGTTGGAGGAGACGTTCTGTCTGTCGTGGCGGGACCCTGTGATGAATGCCTCATCTCCAGCCGGCTGCTACAGTGGCGCATACAGGAAGAATATCGGGTCCGATTGTGTCTGTGGTACGGTACATACCGTATTTCTTGCGAATTACCGTGCCCTCGCACCTGAAAACGGGATTTTTAGATGTGCTGGACGAGAAGGTGAAGCCGTCACGCCAGGGAAACGGTGGGTGCAGCTAGCAGAGACAATTTGCGGAAAAGTTCACGAATTTGGCCAAAAATCCTACTTTTTCCAAAAACTCAATCCTCAAGATTGCGAATTTTTGCCATTTTTGGGGTGTAGTTTGTAGTTTGCCGGTCAGATCGCTGATTTTCAAAAACGATTTTTACTTCCTACAGAATCTCGGCTGGTTGACCGCCTCGAAAAACTCGAAAAGCCGATTTTCAGACTTTGGTAGGCTAGCAGAGACTATTTGTGGAATTTGAGGGGCAAACTAGCAGAGAAAATTTTGGAAAACGTAAACTGGCAGGCAGCGAGCTAGCAGAGATGCTTTGCGGAATTATAGGCAGGCTAGCAGTGATTTTTGAGGAATTCGCAAGGGAGGTAGGCATGGGCAGGCTAGCCGAGATTTTTTGGGAATTGAAGGGAAAACTAGCAGAGAAAATTATGGAAATTGTAAACTGACAGTCAGAGAGCTAGCAGAGACACTTTGTGGAACTCTAGGCAGGCTAGCAGGGATTTTTGAGGAATTCGTAGGGGAGGGGAAGGGCAGGCTAGCGGAGATTATTTGGGAATCGGAGGGCAAACTAGCAGAGGAACTGTCGGAATCGCTAAACTGACATCCATAAAGCTAGCAGAAGCAATTTGCGGAATTCTAGGCAGGCTAGCAGGGATTTTTCAGGAATTTCGGGAAGCGGGAAGCAAGCAGAGGTTTTTGAGGAATTCAAGGAACTCATTTTCATGCCGTAATTCCAGTTAGCTGGCAGCTGCTGGCCGCCTACGCCTCGTTGCCCAAGCCGTCGAATGGGCCGACTTGCGGCGCGCAAGCGCGCTTCGAGCGCCCCAGCGATTTTGAGCAGCCATATACAGCGGTAGGGCAGGCTAGCAGGGATTATTTGGGATTTACTTTTTAGCCCCCTCCCCCCACCAACTCGACGACTCCGAACGGCACGACGACGACGACAAGTACGATGAGCACCACTTCTGAGCGTCCCATCGCCTCCACCAAGGCCGAGCAGTCCGGCGAGCAGGGAGCCGAGAATAAGCTCGAGGAGTAGGTTTTGTTAAGTGTAGCTTGTAGTCTGGCTGCCAGTTGAGCGATTCTCCAAAGAATTAGAACTCTAGCTACAAATTACAAAAAAATAGGTTTATTCGAAAAAAAAAGCAAAAATCGCAATTTTGGCACGTTCCGAATTGATCCAAATGACGTCTGGGGGTACTGTAAATGCGTTTGGACGGTTGTGGCTTGTAGTCTGGCGGCCAGTTTAGGGACCTTAATTGAAAAACCAATCCAAATTTTCAAAAAGCAAAAAGTTGGCCGCGGCGGGGGGTCGAACCTGAGTCACGCAACTGATAGCTTCGACGTAGTTTGTAGTCTTCATCTAATGACTGTATATTGTAGTCTGGCTGTCAGTTAAGCGATTCCCAAAAGTATTAGAGCTCTAACTACGAACTACAAAAAGTTAGGCCCCTTCGAAAAAACCAAAAATCGCAATTTGGAACTTTTCCTAAATATTCCAATTGACGCTTGGGGTAGTGTAAATGCGTTTTGACGGTTGTAGCTTGTAGTCTGGCTGCCAGTTTAGCCATCCCAATCAAAAATCATTCCAAATTTTCAAAAAGCGAAAAGTTGGCCGCGGCGGGGGGTCGAACCCGGGTCCTTCGCGTAACTTTTCTGAAGTCTGTAGCCGCAAGATAAAAGTTGTAGTCTGTACCCGGCCAGACAGTTTAACCATTGCAATGGATGTTTTCAATGTAGCAATCCATTTTTTTGCAGCATCACTGAAGACAAGCTGCTGGTGGATATGGGAAACCATTGGCAATTCCTGGTGACCCTGTTGGTGTTGTGTGTCCTTCTCTGTGTCTGTCTCGCTCTCTCTGTCTGTGTTGCCAAACGATACAAGAAGAAGAGAGAGGCCACCATCAACAAGACACCCTCAGCCTCAGCCACCGACAGGAGCGCCACCTCTCGAAGGTAGGTACGTGGCGCTGCACCTTTAAAAACCTTCTTGGTTCTTTGGCATTATCGGGGGGTGCATTACTTACGCTGTATTTTACCATTCCTAAACGTCAAAACTTTCAAAATTTTGAAGAAAAAAATACAAAAATATCGATTTTTCGATCAAAAAGACCGTTTCCTGACCTAAATTTCGTCTAAAAAACTTCTGCACTATTTTTTATTGCCCGGTTTGGTCTAAAATCGTTTTTCTGGCTAACAACTATTTTTTACCGTTACGAAACGTAGCAACGTTACAAAATTTGATGTAAAAAATACAAAAACTATCGATTTTTCGGCCAAAATTTCGAGTTTTTGAAATTTTTTTAGTTTTTAAATAGTTTGCCACTTGAAATATATTTAAATTTTACTAAAAATAGCGTAGAAGTATAAAAAAGGGTCTCCTTTTATATGGAAACGTCGAAAAAATTTTGATTTTTGAGTTTTGGGCAAAAATGTTTCAAAAATTAATGAAAAAGTAAAAATTTTCGATTCTTCAATGTCTTCAGGTTCTCTTTTATGAGTTTTCTAGCAAGGAGAAACTACGAAAAAATGATAAAAAATAGGAAATATTAATAACAGTGTCCCCCCCCCCCGCTAACAGGACAGAACCTTTCTCACCAGAATCTAACCAAAAAACTCAAAATTTTGATTTGAAAATTGGAGGCTAGCATTAAAAAATACAGCATATAAACACTAGAAAAGCCAGTTTTTTTGGTGTCACTGCCCCTTTAAAAGCTTTTTTTCAGTCAGCCGCCCCTAAAACGCCAGCCCAGCCGAAACGAGCGCAGCGCCCTTCTCTCTACCACCGGCAGCAGCAGCGCCATGCTGTCGTCCTCTCGTCACTAAACTGCTCGATGACGCGGGTGGTGGCTGTGCTGCTTGATGTCGCGGCTCATCTACTGCCCCTCCCCATATCATACTCGCTGCTGCTGCACATTTTTCTCCCCTCATCTCGATCCGCTTTTTCCATGTATCGTTTCGCAGTACACAGCCTACACCCCCTACCGCATCCCAATAAATCGTTTTTTAGATGAAGAAAAATGCACTCAAAAAATACGTGAAAATCGGTTTCAAAAACGCAATTCTGCTTCCGGATTAAAAAACACGCATTTTTACACCCTAAAACCAGAGAAAAACGCATTTTTAGATTTTAAAAAATCTATTGATGAAAAAGACCCAGCTTAAACCCTAAAGCTATCGAAAAACGTGCAAAAAATTGCGAAAAATGGGATAGAAATTGCTTTTAGAAGCTATTTTTAGACGAAGAATGATGCACTCAAAAAATACGTAAAAATCGGCAAAAAATTCCATTTCTGCTTTTATATTAAGGAGAACACAGTCTAAAACCTAAAATCGTCAAAAAAAAAAATCGCCAAAACTTGCGAAAAATGGTAAAAAATGGCGAAAAAGTGAATTCTGCTTCTATATGATGAAAAAACACAGTTTTTCATCATATAGACCTCGACGAACCATCGACAAACGCGCAAAAAGTTGCGAAAAATTATAAAGAAATTAGGCTTAGAAGCGATTTTTAAATGAAGAAAAATCGAACAGCACCCCTAAAAATTGAATTCTGCTTCCTGATTAAAAAACCAGTTTAAAACCGAAAATCGTGCAAAAATCGCGCCAAACTTGCGAAAAATGGTTTAAAAAAAAAAACTACAAAAAATGGGCATTTTTCACGATTTTTTGGCAAATCGATTAAACCACAAAAATTTGGGCGACTACAAGACACTCCACCGAACGCTATCGGTAAGCGTAGCGCCTTGGAATCCTACGGTAGCCGCGTGGTTTCGCATTTTCCGGGCCTAAATTTACTTCTCGTTTTTATGATTTGGGCGATTTTCACTTTTTCTCGAAACGCTGATCAACACTGTATTTTAAAAAGTAGATTTTGTTTGGTTTAGAAGTTTTGCAATCACGCGACGCTTCACCGAATGCTGCGCCGTATAATGTGCTGAAAACGTAGACTTACGCGTATTTTTTTCATGAAAAACACTAAAAATGTCCTTCAAAACAGCGAAATTGAGCCTGAACAGAGCTAAGCCGTAGCCAAATACACGTAAACGTACGCGGATTTTGGCCCGAAATTTCTGTTTTTGCAAATTTCTCTGTGAATTGTCGTTTTCATAGCTTTAATTTTTGTTGCGCGCGGTGCTCTCGCTATCTTTCCGTGGTAAAAACGATGCTTAGGCTTAGGCTTTCATTCATTCGAGTTTCCGCAAACTTTGCCGCGCCTTAGCTTCCTTCCAAATTTTTCTGGTTTAGAAACTTTGCGATTGAGTATTAGATAAATGTTCTTCTAGTTAGTTTTATCGGTCCATACGCCTCTATTTTTTCCGATTTTTCGCTTTTTCTATGTGAAAAACCCGTTTTTTTTGCAGAGGATGCCCTCGTTCCGCGCCCGATGCGCCATCTGCACGCTATTCTACTCGCTGGAGGACGTCCACGTCATCCCGTGCGGCCACACCTTCCACAACGACTGCATTAACACATGGCTCACGGTAAGCTTTTATTTCCTAACTTTTGATGCCCTTTTCTAGAGCCATCACCCGCACTCGCAGCGCTGCCCGGTGTGCCGTCATCGTTGTGGCCGCCACGAGGTCGTCAAGGCCTTCATCGACATCGACGAGACCGCGGAGGGCGCCGCCGAGCACGCCACTGATCAGGTACAGTTTGGGAAGGGGTTTTGAGGGTCTCTGGCTTTTTTTTTGGGGGATTTTGGCATCGGGTTTTTAGGCCTTTCTGGCCTAGGTTTTGGCGTCAATTTCGAAAAAGACCAACGGTGATTAGGAAAACAATTGTTTAGTGCAGTTTTTCTTAGCGCCCCGCTGCAACTAAGCCTAGTCGAGCCGTAGAGCGTTTTTATTAGTGTTTTTATCAAATGTGGCTAAATTAGAAGGGCAGATTTGTCTGTTTTGGACGATAGCCAAGCTTTTTTTAGTAACATTTAGCCGAATTTGAGATGCAAAAACTGTCTAGAAAGAAAAACTTTAGAAATTGCAAATTGGGTCTAAAGCGCCGATTTTGAGCCCAAAAACGCTCGAAAACGCTCCATTTCTGGAAAAAAAAAGTGGATGTAGAACGCTGCCGCAAATGCGTTTGGATAGCTTTTAATTAGCATAGATCTGCACAAAATAGCTATTTGTATCTCGTAAAATGGAGTCATTCCTCTGTCTCCCATGTCTGCAATGACGGCCGTAGATCTGTATGAGAACACTGTTAGTGATTTTATAATGTGAAGAACCACTTTTATAACGTTAAAAAATTGATTTTGACGTTTTTATAACTTAAAAAACTTTTTAACTTTTTTCAAATTTATAATACTTATTCCCCCCGTTTCCAGTTGGAACACATGCGCCGCGAGCTGGTGCTCACGAAGGCGGATGCGTTGGAGGCCCAGCGCGACCTGAAGAGGAAGGTCAACGACGTGCGCGACGAGGCCGCCCGGCTGCTCGCCAAGAAGGACAGGGAGGTGCGCTCGGTGAACGAGCGGCTCGACAAGGTCACCAAGGAGCTCGCCGATGTCAACAAGACCGTCCAGAAGCAGGCCGAGCAGATCAAGACCCTGCAGAAGCACGCCGATGTCGACAAGTCCCTCCAGAAGCAGTACGTTTTCTATTTTTTGGGTGCTTGGGCAATATCCGGGGGGGGGACAATTTTTTGTATGAGTTTAGCAATTCCTAGCGAATTAATGGGAGGTATTTTCGTAATGACTTTAGCGAAATAAAGCTAGATTTGCACTGTTTAATAAAAATTACTGAAGTTTTCACATCTAGGATTGTTAAAAACAGTTTGGAAGGACCTCAGCTTTCTATATATTTTAAAACATTGGATTCTAACAGAAAAAAGATCCCCCCGATATTGCCAAAGAACCTGCTTTTTTGCTGTTCATTTTTGTATTTTACAATTTAGAATCGACGCGCTGGTGGCGCAGATGAAGACTGTGGTGCAACGTCGCCCGCCCCCACCACCGCAGCAGCAGCAGCCGTTGAGGTATATCTTTTTAGCAAGTCTTCTTTTAGCCTCTTTTTTCCAGCTCGAAGCAGCCCGACGTGAAAGCCCCGGAGCCGCAGCCTCGTCTCGCCCGCGCGCCCCTGCCCGTCGCCGCCGCGCTCCTCAACAGACGGATGCCGGAGAAGGAGCTGCGCCGCTCGCTTCGTTCCGGTATATTTTTGACTAGAAAAATTGTATAAAGTGGAAAAGTGCCTTGAATTTTTACGATTAGGCTGGAAAACTCTACGAAAAAGGGATTTTTTAAAATTTTGGTGTGTTTTTGTGCGAAATTGACCGAATTTTTGCTGCTATGTCGGAATTTCTTGTTTTAACGTAAATTTATTTGCTTTGGAACTAGTTTTTAAATGCAAAAAGCTGAATTCTTTCCAAACTGTTTTTACCCTGACAAATTTATATAAAAAAATCTCGATTTTTCGGCAAAAAATGGCCGTTTTCGACCAAAATTTTGGCTTTTTGCAGATTTTTTTGATAGTTTTTCCAGTTAAAATAGTTTTTTATCTTACCGATTATGCGAAAGATCTAAATATCCTTTTTTCAGCGAGCGTCGTGGCCACGGCCCGCCTCACCACGAAGCGCCCCGAGCCGCCGCGTCCTGCTGTCGCTGCCGGACCTGCTGCCAAGGTATCACTTTCTCAAAGCTTCGGAAAACCTTGGGGTTTTTAGGTGATTCGACAGAAGTGACGCGCCGCTCGCCCTCGACGATCAATCAACGCTCTCCGAACGACACCACCCGGCCGGCCGCCACCCCATCCTCGTGCTCAACTTCATGCTCATCTACTAGGAAATGACCCCCCTTCCTCCCCCCGCCCAGTCTCTCTATCCCCCAGATTTGCATGCACATTCCCCACTTCCCCTCGCTTTTTTTTGGTCATTTATTCACTCGGCTCTGGCTTTCCGCGCTGATATCATTAAAAATTCCGCTGAAATATGTCGATAATCGGTGTAACAACTCATGCTCATTCTCCCCGCCCTGGCCATCATCGCCCCCTTTGACATCCACCCAGCACACACACACACTTTTTGCATGTCTTTGCCATATCGTTGCCCGAATAAATGGATTCAAAATATACGTGTTTTGTTGGAAATGTGGTACACAAATGGATCGACCCCGACAATTGCCGAAAACGTATTACTGGTTTTTTCGGATGTTTTCGTTCTTCCGGTTGCGATTGATTGCATTTTGGGTTTGATTGCGCGCGAAAAAAATCGCCTACTTTTGAAGCCGAAAAACTTGCCGAGAAGCACAAGAAAGGCGCAATGCAGCGCTTGTGGTTTTCTTGCTAAAATTGCTTTAAATTTTTATGTATTTCCGGATTTCGAAGCTATTTTTGCTCTAAAATGCCGCTCTGTTTTGTCCTTCTTGCTCTTGTGATTAGATTTCCTGGGCTAGATCAGATTGCTTTTCATCGCGCGGCAAAAGACGCGACCTCGAACTTTTCCTACTGTTTTTTTACGGGGGCCAGTCCAAAAACGGTCGATTTCAGGCAATTTGAATTTACCTAAATCCGCGCGATTGCTAGCTACTCGTTTGGGGTTCGGGTTTTGCGTTAGAGGGCGCTGCAAAACATTAAATTCGGTGTTTTTCGATTCCCCCGCGTTGTTTTGCGTGTTTCCGTATGGGAGTAGATATGTGGGCCTATGGTAACGCTTTTGGAAAAGCGGAGCTCATAGTTTTATGTTTTCTGCGCGCCTTCCTTGTCTAGAATTCACTTGGTGGCAAATTCCGCGCCAAAAAGCGTTTTTTCGGCGGTACAACATTTTAAATTCCTTGTGACCTTCATGTAGAACTTTTTTTTTTGCTTTTTTAGGCCCCTTTTCGATCCTTAGATAATTTTCCCTCAGGGTCTTAGAGGTCTCAGGATTAGAATCTCGGCGCGCATTCTCCAGCTTTAGTTGTCTTTTTGCCTGTTTATCACCTATTTTCAAAGCTAGAAGCTCGCGCTTTTTAGACACCCCGCCGGGCGCAGCAGAATTTTCGCTTTAGAGCCTTGAGAAACGTCGCCGCCTAGCTTTAGGCACATTTACACGCTCGAATTTGGCTTGATATGGTTTTCCCTCTTTTTTAACACCATTCTGTATGCCAAATAATCTCGTTTTTGCTATAAAAAACCGCCCGGCGCCGCAGAATTTTCGATCAAGCGCGGTTTTGGACATTTTTATAGCTTGTTCTTGATTTTAGGATGTTTTCTTCTTGGTCTTCAGGAAGTTTTAGCTTTATAGGGCTTTTCCTCTTGTTTGAAACCATTTTTGTGTATTTTCATTCCGGAAAAATCTTGATTTTTCATTAGGAATTTTCGACACCTTTTAGAAAATCCAAAATGTTTGTGATTTTTGCGTGCGACATGAATTTTCGTTTTAGCGCGGTTTTCGCCATTTTTATAGCTTTTTCGTGATTTTTGATGTTTTCTTCTTTTTTAGAAGTTTTTAGAAAATCGAAATTTCTGCATTTATAGTTCTTGATCCGTTTTATCGTTGTTTTTGCGATAAAGCATTTTGGAAATAGTTCTAAACATAATTTAGAAAGAATTTCGCATTTATTTGACACTTTCAGCTTTTCTTATTTCTTTTTATGTTTTCTTCTTTTTTTTAAGGAGGTTTTAACTTTTTTTTGCAGCGATGCTCGAGAGCGACGACTTGGGCGGCGATGGTTTCGACTGGGATCAACAGCGCATTGACAGGGTGATGGACAGACTGCGCCAGCTCTTCGCCCTCTTCAAACGGACACTGCCCGCGCATCGTTACGACCTCTGGATTGAGCTGTACAAGAAGTTCTTCGTCGGCACCGTCACCGTCAAGGAGTTTGCCGACCAAATTGGCGACGTTCTACAAGGAGCCCTTCAAGGTAATGGGTTGTTAGCGGGAAGGGCTTTGGAGCCAATTTTGTTCACAAATTAGAGAGATTAGCGTTTCTCACCGCTTTTTTTAATTTGAAAAATATTCGAATTGAACTGATTAGCTTATACCTACGTTTTATAGCGTTTTGGTGTATTAAAAATTATAGTTTTTAGAAAAAAAAATTGCGTCTTCTACTTTTTTCGACAATTTTTGAAGTGTTTTATGGTGTTTAGATAGTTTTTTAGTACGATAGAGCCTTGAGAAAGATAAGGAAAGTTTATAGCAATTTTGGAAATTGGAGAAATATTAAATTTTTGAGCAAAAATCATTTTTTAGCCAATTTGGTATTTTTTCTGAATTTCTTATGTTTAAGAAATGGAGCAGAAAGCTAAAATAATAATAAGCAAAGCTGTAAAATGCTATAAAATAAAAATTTGAAGGCAGGATCTATTTTTTCGCCAAATTTTGATGCTTTTTGTGGCTTTCCGGGCTTAAAAAGGGCGTAAAACGATTAAAATGGCGTGAATTTCGTTTTCGATAGGTGAAAGTTAGGTTTTCTCACCCCCCCCCGCTAACGCTCAAGAACCCGCTTTCTTTTTAGCCGAGAACGGTGAGGTGCGGGCGACGCTCTGGGAGATCGGAAGGACGAATCTGAGGTGGAAGCCGCGACATCGCGACTACGACTCGAATGGACAGCCACTCCCGCTCCGCTCGATCGTCACTTTCGGGGATCGCCGCGCTCTGCTGGCCATCAGATGCGCCGAGAGGGGAGCGTCCTTCGAGAGGGAACTCGTTGATGTGCTCGTCGAGGCCGGCAATGACTATATTCAGGTATAAAAATTGTTTATTTTGGCTATTAAGGCGTCTAAAACGATTAAAAAAAACGTAGAAACGTTGGATTTTGATGATTTTTGTAGTGTTGGAAAGCCTGGAAAATTGCGGATTTTTTAGAGTTTGAAACGAGTGAAAAACACGTAGAAACGTTGGACTTATCTAATCGCGTTTTTTGTTTGTTTTTTTTTTGTTTTGGGAAGCCCCGAAAAGGAAGGATGGATGGATTTTTCAAAGCTTTTTCTTTAGGGATAGAGAGGCGAAAATTTCGGATTAATAAAGCTCCTAAATTTAATTGTACTCTTTTGGAAAGCCCGGAAAATTGGAAATTTGTTAGTTCATTTTTTTAGTTTTGGAAAGGCCAGAAAACGTGGATCTGACCTAGTTTTAAGTTTCTATGGCTTCTCTATTTTTTTAAACCTTGGAAGACGTGGGTTTTATCGATTTTTAACGCTCTAGTACCTCAAGAAAAGGGGAGGATTTGTAAAACTTCCATGAGAAATTTTTTTGAAAATAAAAACATCGAAATCGTCTTTTCCGGAAAGTCGCTTTTCCGGGCTTTCTAATGCTGTAAAAAATTATTAGGATTTCACTTTCCGACATAAATAGAGCTCTATTTTACCTCTCCGGCCGCTTCATGTTGCTTCGCCTTTTGACTACCCGCCCCCTCTAGTGGCGTCAGCTGTTCGGGTTTGTAGTCCCCCATCCCCTGCCAGGATCCCGCTCCTCGCCCACACTGTGGGCCGGAATCCACGACCCCCGAAATTGCTTTCAGACCCTCGTAAAGCGCCACACCCGATCGATTTCCGGTCGCTTTTTGACGCGTTTTTGATAGTGCTGAAACGGAATTTCATAATTTCTGGAACGTTCTGGCTTTTTAGGCTCGTTTCGATTTCTGCGGAGCTTTTAAGGAGTAACTGGCGATTTTTGAGATCTAGGATCTAGCTTTTTAGGCGTTTGTTGGCTTTTTATTGTCTAAAAATGTTGAGCTTGAGGCCAAAAATCCTAATATAGCCACTTTGCGCCGAAACATCAAAATGTTAGGTTGAAAATGAAAAAGCACATTTCCAGGATTCTCGTTTTGTCATATTTTTGCGTATAAGTTATAAATATTATTCCTATTTATTCCAAAACCTCGAAATTCTGGGTTTAAAATTCAAAAAAACTTTTTATGAGTGGTTTATCCAGATTTATTGCAGCCATGGCTACAAAAAGGCTTTTTTTCAGGCATTGGCGCCGAGATTTTTCTATTAGCTTTTTTGCTGGCTTTTTGGGGTATTTTTAAATGTGATTTTAATTTAATAAACTAGGCAAGGCTTATTTTAAGAATGTCTAAATTTACATAAGCTAAAATTCCCGGTAAAGCCCCCGAATTCTAGGCAAAAAATGTTTTGGCAAAGGCAAAACGGCAAAAAATTTACATAATTTTGAAATGTGATTTTAATTTAATAAACGGGGCAACATCCCAAAGTTCCAATTTTCGAATAAAAAAAATTCGCTTTTTTTCGATCTAAAAACGTTTTTTTGCAGGAACTGCATTTTTTTAAATGTCTGAATTTAATTAAGTTATAATTTTCCAAAAAAAATTCTTTTAATTCTAGAAAAAACCCATTTCTTTTTGCAGGAACTCGTGCTGTCGAGTTGCCCCCAAGCCGACGGTATCGATGGCTTCATCGAGACGGCCGGGGCTCAGGGGCCATTCGGGATCCCGGATCTGCATCATCTACTACGCAAAAGAAGCACAGATCCGGAGCTGCCAGCGGAGATGCGAGAATTGGCCGCCAGGCAGCTGGCCACCACTATCGAAAAGACGACTGATGAACAGAGAACGGCTCGGCCACCACGATGGGATGTTGACGCGGATGAGGAGGATGACGATCTCTACGCCGACGCCTTCGATTTGGACGAGTTTGAAGCGGACGTTCTTGGACAGCCCGTAAAAGAGGATTACGACGATCAGGGAAAGGTGGGGGATTAATTTAATCTAAGAATATCCTAATTAAAAATTTCATTAATTTTGTTTGTTTTGGAGCTTTTGCAATATCGGGGGGTTCACAGAAAAAGGTGGGGATTAATTTAATCTAAAAATACCCTAATTAAAAATTAAATGAATTAGCTTGGACAGAATTTAATTTATTTTTTTGGGAGCTTTTGCATTATCGGGGGATGTCACAGAAAAAGGTGGGGATTAATTCAATCTAAAAATATCCAAACTAAAAATTAAATTAATTTTCGAAATTTTTAGGTTATTTTGGAGCTTTTGCAATATCGGGGGGAGGTGTTACAGAATAAGGGTGGAAATTAATCTAACGTTTATGAGGTTTAAATCAGAACAGGGTGATTAATTTATCATGTTTAAATTGTTGTAAAAATTAATTTTCGTAAAGCTTTTTTTTGGAGCTTGTGCAATATCCGGGGGGAATGCCAGAGAAAAAGGTGGAGATTAATCTAACTAATATTTATGATGTTTAAATTATTTAAAATGACTTTTTGGAAAAAAGTTCGAAAAATAGATATTTGGGTCTTTTGCGTTATCGGGGGGCTAATTTTTCGAGTAAAAATAGAGCAAGCATTTGTATATGTTTTTTTTACTGGCCATAATTAAAACAATTAAAAAACGTTGTAAAATAACTTAGGCAATTTTGCATTTTTTACGCTTATAAAGTGCAAGAAAACGATACTTCCTGTTTTTTTAACGTTTTTTAACAGATTTGCAGCGTTTTGTAAAAATCAGCAAAAATAAAAATTATATGAATAAACGTTTTTTCTTCAGATGAAGGCGTACGAAGAGGTGGATTCTGATGAGGAGGAGCACGAGATGGAGGACGGGACGCTGGCCGGGGTCGAGCAGCTCTCCCAGCGTGTAGATGACCACGACTTGACGCTCGACCTCTTGGAGGAGTCTGAAAGTGAGGAGGAGGAAGAGCCCGAGGAGAAGGAGCACGACAAGAAGCAGCCTCCGACCAGGCCGAAGAAGGACGAGGAGAGGAGCTGGACAAGAAGAAGCCTCCGACTAGCCCGGAAAAGGACGAGGAGCACGAGCCGGTGGAGGAGGAGCTAGTCAATAAGTCTCTGACCAAGCCTATCAAAACCCTCCCGGCTCTGGTGGACTATGACGAGGAGGAGGAGGAGCTTTTGGAGCACGACATCCCGCCGTCGCCCGTCGAGAAGGAGACGCTCCGCGGAAATGAAGCCAAATCGGGAGCTGTGGCTGAACACCCGCAGTTTGACGGCCGTGGCGATCACAACGAGGGGATGGCCGGAAATCGGGGTAAATTTTTGTCTATAAAATTACTTTAAAAATGTATTTAAAGTCCTAACAAAATCAATTTAATCTGAATTTAGTATTTTTTCTATTCTCAGAAAATTACAATTATTACTGAATTGCAATTTGTTTACAAAGATAATTTTAAAACTTATTTAAAATTATAAAAATATTAATATTTTTATTTCTATTTTTTCAAATTGTTTTTAGAAAATGACGATTCGGAAGACGATCTCGACATGACGGCGACGATGGGCCAATTTGATGACGCGCCCGACGAGCAGCACCAGGCGTTGAACAACACGCTCAACGAGGGCAAGTCGAACGCGTCGGCATCGACGACCGATCGCGGCGAGCACGACGACGACGTCGTCAAGACGTCCAAAGGTCCGCATCAGCTTTTATTGCAAAAAATTGACATTTTTGCAAGTTTTAAGGTTTTAAAAGCTGTTTTAAAGTTCTAAAAATTGTTACTTCAGATAATGGCGACGGCGGGTGGCTGGCGGACTGGCGGAAAACGGTCAACTTGACGGGGTCGGCTGGAGACGACCAAGCTGAGGCTGCTGAACCGGGCGGACGAGGCGACGGAGACGCTCTAGGTAAACTTAGGACCTTTTTAATTATTTTAAACGTTCTTGAAAATTGAAAATTCTTATTTATATTTAATTTTTCAGACTTTTAATAAATATTTACATTTTTTTAATCCCCTTTTCCAGCCGCCGCCTTCGGCGACGACATCTCGTTCTCGGACCAGCCCGGGCCGTCGAAAAGGTTCAACGACCTGCTCCAGTCGATGCCCAACGACGTCGTCCTGCCGCCCAATTCTGATGATGACCACGACGAAGACGTGCCGCCGCCCACACCGGTGCCCGTCCCCCGTCCGACGGCCACAAAAACGCGCTCACAATCCGTGGCCAAGAAGGCGCCGCCGAAGAAACGTCAGCCACCCAAGTCCCGCGCCTCACCCAGGGCCCCGAAAAGTGGTCGAAACGCGAAAGGTAACCGTATTTTATGAAGATTTTAATTTTTGTTAGCTTGAAAATTTTCAATTTCAAAAAAAAAATGCGAAAAATTCAATTTTTTATGAAATTGTAAGCCGGGATCCGATTTTGGAACTGTTCTATGAGCGGGGGGGTGCTATTTAACCCGTGTTTCTAAAAAAAACCGCCGGTTTCTTTGCCGAGAATAGTTTTTTCCTTATTTTTTTGTTCTGGGTTTTGATTTCTTTAGTAGATTGATAGGCCTTTTTTACGTTTAAGAATTTCTCAAAATTGTTTGGGGATTTTCCTCCCCTTAAAATAGAACAGTACCCGCATTTTCGATGAAATCGAGATTTTTCTAATCAATTAAACAATTTTTAATTGATTTTTTTTCAGCCGTTGTCGACGCCGACGACAAGGTCAGCCCGGCGAAGCGGAAGCGGACCAGCTCGCACTATGACGACGATCCGCCCTACAACCCAAGGAGGGGTCCGGCCAAGAGCAAGAAGCCCGCAAAGCCCAAGAAGCCAACGGCGGCGTCACGATCGAAAAGCAAGGGCCGACGCGTAGATGATCAGCCCGCCGACGGGAACGAGTCCGACTTCGACAACTTGCCGGGTAAGGCTTTTTACGATTTATCTAGATCTAGAATCTAGAAATTTTAGTTTGGAAAATCAAAAAATTGACTTTCCGCGATTTTAATAGAACCTTGATTTTGTTTTTATCAAAATTTAGGCATGTTTTAAAAAAACAAAACGATTCGAATTTCACCATTTTGAAGCGAAAAATCGATGCTTTTTCTTCACAAATAAAAGTAAAATTTTTATGGTTTAATTATTTAGTAGTCAAAATCCTCGAAATTTGCTTTATTTTTATTGTTTAGAAAACGGTGAATTTAAATAAAGCTGAAAGAAAATGGATTAAAAAGAAAACTTCCGGCCTAATTATCGTTATTTTTTGGGAAACGAGGGAATATTAATAAAAATAACTATTTAAAAACAATTAAATTGAATTTCTATTTATTTCCAGAAAACGACGACGGCTCGGACTCGGCGGACAAACCGGGCCCATCAAAGCCAAAGAAGAAGAGCCCGCCGAAAAAGCAGAAGATGGCCAACAACATCAAGGAGGACGAGGAGGAAGAGTCGGACGACGGCTACAACCCCAAGTAATTATAGCATAATATTTTCTAATTTTAATAATAGAAAGCACAAAAAGCCGACGGCGCCTTCGCGCTCGAACAGACGCGGAGATGATCAGCCCGTCGACGGGGACGCGTTCGACTTCGACAACTGGCCGGGTAGGGGTTTTTATTTTTAAACGGATAAATTTTGGTGTGGAAAATAGTTAACCTGAGTTTTCGGGAAATAAAAAGTATTTTAATTTATTTTAAACCAAATTTAGTTAGTTTTTTAGTGTAAAAAAATATTTAAAATTTGGCAATAGCGAAATTTTCAAAAAAAAAATCGATTTTTGTAGATTTTTGTTCAATAAAATTTTTCTAAAATATCTTTTCGGTTAGAAAATAAGTTTTAATGGCAAAATAAGGATAATAAATTCCTTTACTTTAATTTATGTTTATTTACCAAAAAACGACGAATTTAGACGGAAATTTTATTAGAACACAATTTAAAAAATATTAAAATCCCGAAAATTATTGTTCGATAAACGGAATTAAAGTCGCGATAAAACTAGAAAATTTAAACTGAAAAATTAAATTGGGTTTAGTATATTTTTCTATTTTTATTTTGATTTATTTCCAGAAAACGACGACTTCTCGGACGCCGACAAACCGGGCCCATCAAAGCCAAAGAAGAAGAGCCCGCCGAAAAAGGAGAAGAAGATGGCCAGCAACATCAAGGAGGACAAGGGCCACGGCGAGGAGGACGAGGTCGACACGAAGAGCAAGAATAAGAAGAAGCCGGCCAGCAGCAAGAAGAAGCTGAAAGAAGCGGAAGAAGATGATGGATCATCCACCATCGACCCCGAGCACATCCCCACCCCCAAACACGCCTCCGCCGCCAAGAAGCACGAATTCAAGCTCGCCATGAAGCAGCTGTCCACCGAGAAACACGATCTGCCCACCCTGGCTCGGTAATTTTTTTGGTTGTTTTATTGATTTAATAGCTTTGAAAAATGTGACGAGGTTTTTCTTTAAGAAAGTGAACTGTTATCTGTCCCTGCTTGTTAGATACGTTTTTAGTTGTAGGAAAATTTCGCACGAAATTCTGTTTGCCGAAAATTCATTTTGCCGAATTTTAATGGATTTGCCTATTTTATAAATTCATAAAATTTAAATTTAACCGAATTTCGAAATTTTTCGAGGCGAAAATTGGATTAAGGAAAAATGCAGCGCCGAATTTTTTAGTTGCCGAAAATCGAATTCGTCGTCGTTGGATTTCCCAGAAATTCATTTGGCAGTATTTTCCTGGTTTTTATTCATTTTTTTGGCTTTCCACTTTTCTAGCGTCCATTTTGTAGTTTTTGACTTATTAAATTAAATTAAATTTCATTTATCTATTTTGGCGCGATCCAATTTGCGCGAAATGCCGAAATTCTTTGCAAGGCAATCGGAAAAATTAATTTTGGGGCCAAGGCACTTTTCGGCTGAATTATTGTTACCTGATTTTAGACTGCGCAACGAGCTGATGAATCGCGTGTGGCAGGAGGAGGGGGATGAGGAGGAGCAGGAGGAGGACGAGCACGAGAAGAAGAAGAAGCCTGTCACCCGCTCGCGAAGCCACAAGAAGAAATAAACACCCAGCCGCCCGAATTTTTTATCTTTTTTTTTGTTTTATTTTTACTGTTTGCTTTGTGCTCATTTCCGGATATAGGCGCATGCTCGTTGATTTTGTTTTGTTACTAGAATTAGATTTCTGGAATCGAAAAAGTGATGGGTTTCTTTTGTTGGTCGGATAATAAATTATTTATTTGTGTATTTTGGAGTGGAAAGAATAAGGTGGATGATGAACCATCGCGATTTCTATAACATTATCGATTTTTGATGTTGTATAGTTTTAAATTCGATTTACTTTTTAATTTTTAGAGAAGTTTGGCTGGGTTCGGCGAAATTCTTTTGTTTATAGTTTTTTTTGGAAAGTTTTAGTAGTTCTTGTTTTTATAATAGTTTCATTTATTCAGATTTCCAGTTTTTCCTTACTTGTAGATGATGAAGCATCAAGATTTCTATAAAATTATCGATTTTTGATGTTGAATAGTTTTAAATTCGATTTACTTTTTAATTTTAGAGGTCTTTAGTTAGCATCGGCGAATTTTTTTTTCTAGTATTTTCGATAGTTTTAGTAGTTCTTCTTTTTATAATAGTTTGATTTATTCAGATTTCCAGTTTTTCCTTACCTTTAGATAGCCTTAAATATTCAGCGTGCATCTTTTGGTGTTTTAGTCGTCATTGTTTCGGATTTCTCGATTTTTTTTGCCATTCCACTACGTTTTAGTTAGTTTTATTCGTATTCTTTTTTAGTTTTTGAATCTACGATTTTGCCGCTCTCTCGCCCTCTCTCACACACATGCTTCGATAAATGTCGAAAGCGTTTAGCAAGTCGTTTTGGTTTTATTTCAAACCCACGCTTTTCAGGCGTGAACTCGCTTTGAAAAACCTAGGTTTACCTTTTCACGGATTGTTTTTTCTGTTTTTTTTTGCTCCTCCCATTCTTCCTTCCGTTTCGTTTTCGCAAATGAGGCTTCAGGATCATTTTCCGCGCTGTAGCGCCTCTTTCGGCTCGATTTTCGCTTTTCTTGGCTTTTGTTATTCACAAAATCGCGTCCTGACGCTCCTCTAAAAGTTGTTTTTGATTAGTGATCAACTCCTTGACGCGGTTTATAGTTTTCTTTAGAGGATCAATCCCCATCTTTACGGCAAATTCACCTTTCTTGGTTTTCCTTTGGGCACGAATCGCCCTCAATTGGCCTTATTTCTTGACATTTTTCGTTTCCCCTCGCTCTCCACGCTCTCCATTATCTTTTACGCGTTCAGTCCCTTCAAAAACTATCCGGTTCTGTTCTATTTCGCGGGGGAAACTGTGCGGGGGGAAATTTTCTTCGTTTTGTTATAACTCTTTTACATGATGCTATTTTGAGTTGTAATTAAAACTCTTAGTATATTTTTTGACGCTCTATCGAATGGCATTCAAGAAATTTTTGAAAGTTATAAAATGTCGAAAACTAGCTTTCGACTCCGCGATCCCATGTGGAAACACCGAATAAACCTTGTTTTTGCTATAACTATTTTATAAAACAATATTTTTAGATGAAATTAAAACTCTTAGTATATATGATGCTCTATCGAATGACCGGTTCAAAATATCGAAAAAATGGCGAAAATGCCAAAAACTAACATTCCGGAACCAATTTCAATAGTTTTTTTTTGTTTTTGCTATAACTTTTTTATATTACAATATTTTTAGCTAAAACAAAAACTCTTAGTATATTTTTTGATGCTCTATCGAATGGCGTTGCAAAAATCCCGAGAAAATAGCGAAAAGGTGAAATTCCGCGAAGCATATTTCCCCCCGCACAGTTTTTCCCCCCCCCCGCGAAATAGAACAGAACCAACTATCCAAAAAACCCATTTTATTCATGGAAATCCTTTTCCAAAATTTTGCCGGGCTTCAAAAGGACTTCGTTTCCTAGCCGATACCACGTTTGATTGACGGTTTCCCGGTCGGGGTTACCCATCGATATTCTAGGGTAGTTTGACGGACTCGGCGCGAATTCTTGGCCTGAAATCCACCTGGGATGCCGTTGCTCTATTACTTTTTTTCCGGAAATTAGGCTGTTCGGCGATCATTTCCCGCTCTCCCGTGCCTATTTCGCCTCGAATTTGGCTTCTAGACTTGGCGAAATCTCCTCCTTTATTTATTTCTCCTTGGCCTAAACTTTCGGCTAAAACTTGCGTTTCATGAGCAGCTCCTTTTTGTCTTTGTTCTTGAATGATGGCGCTATTCCCTATTCCCAAATTTAGAGTGGCACGGCCCCAATCTTTGCACGTTGAAATTTGCTTTTTGGCGTCAATTGTCCATATTTCGTGACATTTGTCGTTTTGCCGCGCTTTGAAAACGTGTCCTTGTGATTGACCTTATTAGATTCCACCCGATACGACCTGTTTAGATTCGAGCGCGCCTCACAAACGCTGGAATCTACTTTTTAGGCCAGCAAAAGATTAGCCGTCTTCCCGTAGCTTTTTTATTGGTGGATATAACATCTTTTCAAAGTCCTTGTTCTCCTGCATTTTTTCCCTTCAAACACGCTTTGATTTTCGTGTTTCGTGCTCTCGCTAAACTCTAGAAAAACCTGGTTTTCAGTGAAGATCCGTCCTTGAAATCCTTGAAATCTTGCTTTTCGTTTCGGCGCGTGTCCTTCTCTGTTCAGCGATAGTTACTTGCAAAAAACGAGTTGGAATCGTTTTCTATTGCTAATTATATGCCCGGAAATATTTCGACGAGCTTTTCTTTTCATTTTTTTTGTCCTCACCTCGCCAATTTTTTAAAAATCTCGATTTTTATCAGGATCGCTGATTTTTTCAAACTAGATTTTTTCATTTTCATGTCCTCAATTGGCCTAGCTTTTCAAAATTTTGCTAACTTGTCATTTTCAGCCCAAACATCCCCAGAAATCTCGCCACACACACAAAACAGCTCTGGATGGAAGTTGACGGGGACAACAAGGGCGACAACAACACTTCATCTACCGCCTCATCTGCTGCTGCTGCTGCCAACAGGCCCATGAGCTGGGGAGATTTTGGGTGCGTTTTATTTGAATTTATTAAGTTTTACGTATTAAAAACATTAATAAATATTTTTTGTTACGTTACTAGACGTTTCTGAACCTTTTTAGAGGCCTGGAAATAGCTAGTGACTTCATATAAGAATTTTTGTCGCGTTTTTAGTAGATCTAAAAACTATATTTTAACGAGAAAAACTATCCAAAACTTTCAAAAATCGAAATTTTTCTCAAAAACTGCCATTTTTGGTCGGAAAATTACTCTTTTGTATTTTTTAGCAAAAAAATTTGTGATTTTTTTATGTTCAGGAATATGAAAGAAACCCCTGTTATCTTAATTGTAGCCCTATGAGTTTGAAAATCTATAATTGATGAGGAAAACGAGAAAAGCATATAATAGAATTTTGTGGTAGAATAAGAATAATTGGTTTTATTTGTCCCTTTTAATAAGTTTTAATTAGTTTTTTTTTGTAGTCGAATCGCGGAGCACAATGCGACGCAGACGTTGACGGCAATCGCGGAGATGCAGCGGACGGCGGCCCCGAATCAAGACACGAGTGACATCCCCCTGGCCACGACATCGGCCCAGATCAACAGCATCCATCGTGTACTCAACATTCCGCATCTCATGGAGCAGATCGTGTCCAACGTCGTCGATTTGAAGGTATAGCCGGTTTTTCTAGCGTTTTTTAGCGAAAATTTTCTTCCTAAAACGGCGCATTTTCGATTTTTTTGAAATTTCAACCAAAACCCGGTTTCTAGGCCAGTTTTTGCGCCGAAAAAACGGTTTCTCGGCGCGTTTTACGAAATTTTTCAGCAGTAGGCGGAATTTTTTAGCCATCTTTGCGCAGATTTTGAATCCACGATCTGGAACCGTCTAAAAAATAGTTAATTCGTCGACCAAGAAAAGAGGAACCAAAAATCGTTGTAGATTTGATTTTCGTGGGCTTTTTTAGCGAGTTTTTGCGCTAAAAATGGTTTCTCGTTGCTGAAAAATGAAAATTTTCAACGCAAAATGGGCAAAAATATGATTTGTTGGCCCGTTTTTGCGGGGAACAGTTTTTAAACTACTTTCTTATGAGAATTGACCGTGTTCGCACGATTTTCAGGCTTTTAGCCAACTTTTGAGATTTTCAATGTAAAAATCGGGTTAAATAAACTGCAATTTCTTTTTTTGTTGGATTTTTCTCGTTTTCACGTTTATGGCAGAGTTTGATGTATAAAAAATGTATTCTGAGTTTTCTAATCGATTTTTTTCAGAGCCGCGCGGCGCTGGACCACGTGAGCCGACAGTTCCACCATCTCTCCCGGAAGACCCCGTTCGCATTCCCGCTATACCCGGAGACGTTGCGCCTCACTTTTCGGGTGAGCATCAGTTTTTTAATTTTTACAAATCCAGAATTTTTTTTGAACTGTTGTCTGCCAAAATTTAGGTAAATATCGTTTTCCAAGTTTATTAGTTTTTTGCAAGTTTAAAGTTTTATTAATTTTTTTGATTAATACGTAGGATTTATTCTTCTTTTACTTGTTGAATTTTGGGTAATTATGGGATTTTGGCGATTTTTTGGACGTTTTTTAACTTTTTTTTTGGGGCAAAATTTCCTCGGAATTGATTGAATTACTTTTATTATTATTTTATTTATTGATCGTTTATTTGCCTTTTTTTCAGCACTGGTTCAGCGCGGCGTTGACGGTGGGCATCGGGACGATTGAGATGACGTCACGGGTCGATGCTCTCACCCAGAATTCCCGAGGCGATCATCCCGTTGGCCAGCAGCCCCCCGAAATAAGTGCGTTTTATTAATTTATTTATTTAAACACCAAATTTTGTGCGTAAATTGAGAAAGGAAAATTCCGCCACGCTACTCCTGACGTAATTTATGGAATTACGGCAGGAGTAGCGTGGCGGAGCTTTGTCATTTTGAAACCTGGTCTTTAAATTGTTTATCTTCTTTTCGTAATATTTATCAATAACCAGGGTTGAAAAGCCGCTTCGCGACTTTTCAACCCTGGC